CTAATTAATTTGTCAAGAGATGTTGACCCATTTGCCAGTTTATGCTGACCCTTTGCTGTGGTTTTGTAGGAGGAAGTGGTGCAGGCTGTGGAAAAAGTGTGCAACATTCTTCCCTCCACACTTACCGCTCAGTGCAAGGACCTGATCGAGACTTATGGCCAAGCAATCATCGAGCTGCTGGTGCAGGAGGCTGACCCAAAGACCATCTGCAGCTTGCTGGGACTGTGCACGGGAGCCAACCGTGCTTTTATCCGTGAGTGTTTCAGTAAAGGTTCTTTCATCACCCCTAATGGTGCTTTCCCCTGAGCAGCGTGAAATAGCACCATTACGAATCTCAACATGGACCTAGCTGTACCCTGATAAAGTCGATTTGTACTCAAAATATGAAATCAGCAATGTGAATGTATTATGTGAATCCCAGAACAGCAAAGGTGAATATTATTTTTATTTTGGGTGATGTGTGCTGCAGTTTTGAGGTAAATTGAGTTTTACCTGCCTCACATCAGTGCTGTTAACCTCAGGTCATTTTCTTGGGCCTTCTGCCCTTTTGTATTTGCATTGCCATAATCTTAGTTGTTCTTCCTCAGCTGTGATGGAGAAAGCAGAGTTTGAGGCTGGTGGGTTCTGTGATGTGTGCAAGATGGCCGTGCGCTATGTGGATGGCATCCTGGAGCAGAACGCCACCGAAGCAGAGATTGAGGAGGCAGTCAAGAAAGTCTGCAACTTCCTGCCTGACGAATTCAAGACTCAGGTGAGTCAAGCTTTGAGTTATGTAAGCCTGCTTAAGAGGAAAAGGTTTTGAGCTGTAGAACTAGTGTGAGTAATGTCCTTTCAGCATGGCTATTTACTTTAATGTACAAGAGTCTGCACATTTAATTCCACTCAGGGTGTTCTAAGTAACATTTAAGATGCCTTTTTAAATCTACCTTCCAGTAATTTTAGCTATTTGGTTCAAATTTTGCATTTTCCTGTGGACTAGATAGTAAATTATGTTGCAGAACCTCATAATCCACTTACATTTGGTACATGGCAAATTGCATGCACACTGACCAGATTGTTCTCTATACAGTGTGACCAGCTTATTGAGCAGTATGAGCCTCTGCTGATCCAGCTGCTGCTCCAGACACTCGACCCTGACTTTGTCTGCATGGTAAGATCTCTCTCTGTGCACTGTTTCTGCTAGTAACAGGCCTTTTCTTCATCCTTCACCATTTAAAGGTTTGAAATGAAGGACTTGTGTGACTGTTCTGTGATATCTGGTTCTGCAGAAGCTGGGTGCGTGTCCTGAGGTAGTGCGGCAGCTGCTGGGTATGGAGCAGTGCAGCTGGGGGCCCGCCTTCTGGTGCAAGAACATGGAGACTGCCACACGCTGTAATGTGAGTATTGCACTACAATTCTGAGTGCTTTCTGAAATCCTTCATATTCAGATGTCTGCTGAAAGGCAAGCTTTGGTCAATCAAATTTGCTCTTACTGGTTTAATCAGTTAAGTTTTGCATTGTAGCTCTGAGGCTGATATAGAAAGAAGTAGGGATACACTAATATCCACTCTTTCATGTGTGAATCTACAGATTTTGATGCCAATACATTAAGATGTATAAATGATGTCAAACATTAAAAAAATCTATAAACTGGGACTAAATTCACTTAATTTAACATTAAGACCTGTTTGTAGAGGATTACAAATATAGTAAAATGAATAAAATGCAGAATTTTTAGCACAGTAGCCAAGCATCTTCTAAACCAGGCCTGTCAAACTCAACTGCTAAACGGGTCATATTGAAAAACCTTAAAAATGGGCCAGAGGAAAAAAAAGTTTTCATTTTTATGTTGTGCTGTGCAAAATGAAAACTTCAGCAGTAAAATATAGGCACTTACAATAGACTATGAAATATTACATGAATACTTGAAATATTAAAAATGTAAAAGTGCCTAGGAGTCTTTTAAACCTACCTATTTGCCTCAACTAGACACCTGGCATCCTTTCTTAGCTGCAAGTTCATTAATTCTTGGACTTCGAATTTTTGAGCTGCTAAGCTAACATTAGGTGTAAATAAGGTGCAGCTGAAATGCAGCTAGTGTGTTTGGTGGTATGACTAGTGTGGAATTGTGTAATACTGAGGTGTAACCACTGTCCCATAGGCTGTTGTTGGGGCAGGCGAGCCAGAGCACACGTTACGTTGCAGTGCATGCTGGGAACTGTAGTGCAGCACACTGTGAAATGTGCTAATATCAACATAAAATTAAAATATATTTGGAAGCTGGATAGGATTGGGCCTTAACATTAGCTCCACCAATTGTGCATACTGCTTGTCTAAGGCACTTAATTGCCTTAAACTGTGATAACTGTAATATTAAAAAAATGGAGACATTTTGGGTACGCTGCAAAGCTATAATCAGTAGCAGTAGCCAGTCCATGCTGATTGGTGTAGTATAAGCCTCCTCACTGCAAAGCTGATGAATCAAACCTTGGATGCCGAACATGTTGAGTAAGGGAGGGTGGACTGTGGACATTTTTGCCGGACTGTTCCTGTAAATATATTTGAACGTATTCTATTAAAGTTAAATGTGTGGAGTGCAGTAAATAAGTGCCTGTGTGTTTTGTTTCAGGCGGTGTCTCACTGCAGACGTCACGTTTGGAGTTAGAGGACCAGAGTGGCCAAACTGACCAGAGGATCTAAAGGAGAATTTCTGTAGCGCTGCTTTCCCTGTTTTAAAACAAATCAGTCCTTCCCTGTTACTTTATATTTCCTTTTAAAAGATGATGCAGGTTTGAAATGAAGTTCTGCCAAAACTAATTGGACGACTGGTTTCAGGGCACTACAGAAGAGAGGTGTGTAATTATTATGGTAGAGGCGGGGGGTTTGGAGAGTGATGGGAGGGGTCTGACTGACAAGAAGCTGTGTCTAAACTGGAACTAAACCTAGCTTCAACTGCTGATTTTCATTTGTTCTAGAACTGTGGGTTGTTTTTAGAGTTGTGATTTTTTTTTTCTGAATTTTTTTTAGTTTGTACACGTATATTTCAACAACATGCATGTAAATGGGAACTGAGGGCAGGAGATGATGCTCGGGTGGGAGGAGTTTGTGCCTTGATGGGACAGAGGGGGCTGAGACCCCCCAAACTGAATGAAAAGTCACTGTTTTAAGTTAAATTCCCTGCCCCTGCACTGTAGGCCAGTGAGCTGAATTGAGAACTTTTGTGTTTTGAGTGAAACTCGAGTCCTACACTGATTCTCAGCATTGTATTCACATCTTTGTTGGTTTAATTGAAAGCAAGGGAAGTTTGTGTGACTGTCATGTTAATCACACCCACTTTGTCTTTGCTGATTGGCCCTCACTGCTTCTTGATCAAATGTTTCTCTGCCAAACAGTCATGAGCTTCTCAGTCTGCTTCACATTGTTAACGCTGAGCCATTTGTTGGAATCTGTAAAATTTAACTGAAATTAAATTGACCTAAATCCATTTTAAAATGCCATTTTAGTAAAGATGTACAATAAAACGAGTACCAGTTTTTGATTTGTTTGGGTTTTTATTAATGCAGTACTTTATTAATGTAAAAAATATTTTATATATGAAGATTGACATCCTAGCATGGGGAAAATATCTCAAAGTCCTGATAACATCAAGCTCAGGCTAATTTACCCTCTTTTATAGTTTAAGGGAATGAAACAAGATTATATAGTAAATTTATCACATTTAATACTGACTAACTCTTCCTACACGCACTTTTCCATCTAAAAGGTATGAGGTAAAGTATGATCTTAGATGCTTATATGTTCATCTTGGACTTAAACACATTTCTTGGTGTAAATTTCAAGCAACTACTGAACCTGTGAGCCACTTCTTTGGTGATGACCCCACATTGGTCTCTGTAGGCCGAACACTATTGCGATATAAAAAAACACTAAATGTAACACAGGTGGTTTATTAAAAGCACATGTATACAAAAGGCTATTGTAAATAAAAGACATACAGCAGCACAGAGAATACGACCTGAATGTTACCTGGTCGATAAACAGGGCGAAGTCAGTCACATTCATATGAGGATACATTTACAGATACATAAAAACATTTTCATGAACACTTCATGATGCGTTTCTCAGTTGCGAGACTTTCAAAAGCATGCCTTACATTTAAATAACAGTGAAAGTCTTGCAGTCCTTCACATTATGATGCAACAGCTTATTTTCTACTCGGCAGATTAAAGGAAACGCTAATCTTGAAATCTTTCAGTGGTTTAAAGGCAGCGACTGTTTTGCACGTTTCTGCCATTTGAGGATTTAGTTTGAAAACCCAACCAAACATTTTTCAGAAAAAAAAAAAGAAAAGCACAATGCTACAATTTTCAAATGAAGAGTTACTTAAACCCCTGAGGGTGCGGTGAAAACAACAGCCTGCACAAGTTTCACTTCCCTCTTCACGTCACCTGAGCAGGCTTTTGTTTTTGCTAAATTCATATCTGTGGTAGAGATACGAAGTCAGCTTTGGCATCGTCAGAAAAACAAGCTTTTTGGTTATGATTCCACACTGATTTGTGTCTGAAGGCTAAATGTGTACAATTATTGTGTTTTACAACAGAACTGTGAGAGATATAAAGGCGGGCATTATGAGGTATGACTGAGCTATGTCTCCCACACATCCAGAAAACCTGGAAATACACAGACTACATACATGGTTCCTCAAGGGTTCTTTAGTAAGGAAAATGATTCTGCATAGAACCATGAATACTCAGAGAACCCTTTACATGATTAAACGGTTCTTTGAATGGTGACAGCGTTCTTCAGACTGATGGAGAATGTGTTGAATATGGTTCTATGTAGCATCTAAAAGGGTTCTTATATTATTACAAGCTTGACATCACACCAAAGAAGAACTCTTTTTAGTGCTATATAGAACCCCTTTCCAAAAGGTTCTATATAGAACCATATTGAACACATTCTCCATCAATCTAAAGAACACTTTAATCATGCAAAGGGTTCCTTGAGCATTCATGGTGCTATATAGAATCATTTTCTGTACCAAAGAACCCTTGAAGAACCTTCTTTTTAAGTGTGTAGTTTTCCAGTCATGGAAAACACCTGGAAAATAAGAAAAATCATAAAATGTCTTGAAAATATTAAGTCTTTATAGATAATATAAATATAATACGTCCGTTAAAAGTGTAAAAAGGCTGGATTAAACCACAGAAATAAAACCATGTATTTTTAGCTGCCAGAACCCAGTTTGAGCGTCCATACATACCTATTGTAGTTTGTAAGGCTGTGGTGTTAGACGTGGACAGAATTGTGGTCACGCCATGTTGAGGCTACATTCTTACAGTGTGTAACACTCATAATTTAGTAGAACTTGCGGTGAAATGAAGGATGATTGGCTGAGGAATGGCTTCTGTGATGGTCAGTATGTTACTCAGGGGCCTTTAGGGGCTGTGTTGTTGACTTTAATGCTAAGGATGAAATCATTCTGAGATGACCTTTCAACAAGTGTATATCTAAAAACAGCAGTTCTGGAATTTGTCCTGGAAAATGATTTCCTAAAAAGAGTGGGAGCCCTGATTACCACTGTCATTTACACAACACCCCCGAGTTTGTGAAGAATTGGAGTCTCCGCAGCTGCGTCCCAATTCAGCGGCTGCGTCCTTCGGAGGCTGCATTTAAAGGCCGACTGCATCACAGCGGTGCAACTAGGCTGTCCCATTTCGAAGGCTCCTTCATATGTGGCTGAGAAATGTGTCCTTCTTTTCCACGGCAACAAAGGATCCAACGGGTGGATCCTTCGCCAGCCAACGTATCCCGAGGTTCATTGCGTGGAGATTTGAGAACATGGTGTCAGCAGAGGAGTGAACGGCGGCTGAGGAGACACTTTTAAATGCATGTATTGGGTTTAAACTGAGTCGAATAGCTAAAGATACAAATGTTAAAGAAGCCCATGTGGTCTTTAGCTAAATTTACGCTAACGTGCGGGCAGCCAATGAATGAAAAAATAAAAAAAGTAAAACCAAAGTTTGTGGCTCCATCTTTAAAGAACTTTAAAACTTGACAGGAGCAGCGTTACGTGATGTAGCAGTAAGGGCGGGAACAGTGGTGCTGTGACTCAAACAGGAAATCCGACACAGAGCAGACCATCTCATTTAGTTCAGCCTTCACAGGTCTAAACAGCCTTTGAAGGACACACCTTCGTAGACCGTGTCCTTCGAAACATGCAGACCCTGAACTGGGACACAGCTCGTACGTGTGTGGTCAGCACAGTCCACCCTCACTTCCAGCGTTTGATTCGTCGGAGCTGCACGTAGGCCAACACCAAACATACGCACATGATACCGGCCAGGGCCACCTGGTTCTGCCAGAAGCCCCAAGTGCTGTAGTCAATCTCCTGATGGTCCAGATACATTTCACCGGTCATTCTGACATGGAGAGAATTTCAATGAGCATTTAAAGTATTTCATTTAAAATCATTGTTCATTGTTTCATAATATGACATATTTCTAAGTGAAACAGTATCAGGGAGGGTCTCTGAGCTACCTCAGTGTTTTCTCTCAATAGCTACGTTTACATGCAGCCTAATAATTCGTTAATAATCCGACTAACAGCTCAATCGGAATAGAACACGTTCATGTTTACATCTCAACTGAAACAGGCTAGTCCGATTAAGGTCATTCGTAATACAGTTTCTATCTGATTGATCGAGGTGGATAATCCTGTAAATAATCGGTTAAATTGAAATAGAATCTGATCTTTAAAAGACGGCGGTGGGGCGGACGTCCAGTTTATGTGTCTCAGAACACGACGTCTTCCTCTCGGCCTTCTTTAATAAGGACATGTGAAGGACGTTTTCCTGAGTCTGACATCATTTTAAAGGAATTAAAAACACAAGCACTGCTCACTGCTGCTCATCTCACTCTGACTGGACTCACGTGATGCTTGTTGTCATGGTAACGTCTACACTAAGTGGTTCTTAACGCATAAGCGTAATTTTAGATCTGATTACTTGTAAGGAGAATGTAAACAGATATTTTCCATCAGATTGTTGAGTAGAGTGAGAATAAACACCTAAGTCTTAATCTATAACTGGAATGTATTCAATCGGATTGGCAAAAATCTTTGCATGTAAACACAGCCAATGATAAGTGGAGGTGGTGGATGGGGGGTGAAAAACGATATCAAACGTTTAATGTTTAATGATATCAGTTATTTTCCTATCTGCTGGTGCGTGGTGATGTGAACTGTTTAGATAAGTGCACAGGTAGTAACTCACGGATATTGGGTTGTAGGGTGTACAGTGGAATCGGGTAATGGTGTAAAGTGTATTGTTGTGGTTTACTGTAATGTTTGTGTTTGTCTGATCGTCATCTTTCCCTCCCCCTAACCCCTTATTTTCCCATGGAGCTGCTATGATGCAAGAAAAAATTCAGGGAAATCTGACAATAAAGCGTATTGCATCATTTCATTACCAAAACTCAAAAGACATTTTAGTTGTGCAACAAAAAAACATTACATTTTGATGGAAGATCTTTTTCTTTTAAATGACATAATATGATAAAATAGCACTTAATATGACCAAAACCATGAACTGACAACAGGAAAAAATGTCCATTCTGATTTCACGATGACTTGCATCTATTGTGTGAGACAGGTGGTGAGACAGATCATGTGTGACTTACGTGGTGTAGTTGCTGGTGAACACTAGACCTTTCAGCTCATTGATGGCCAGGGCCTGAGAAAGCACAGGTTGTGGTTTACTGATGGACTCGCACAAGCAAATCATTGTGTGACTGTGGCTGGGAAACTTACGTTGAAGCCATAGCGGAATATACTGATCCACTTCAGCCAAGACATCCAGCTGAGCATTGAGTTCAGGTTCACCAGGAATCCTCCAAACACCTGAGAAACACAGAGACAACACAGTTACACTGAACAAAGACAACAAGCAGTAATGAGAGGTTGAGAATGTCTCACAAACAAAACTTGTATTCAGTGTTTTGCAATGAGGTCTAAAGATATTCAGGAGGTTTTCATGGGCAGCTAAACAACAGACAGTTCAGACCACATGGCGTGACTTGGTGACACTCTACTCGTGTTATTGTGTCTGATAACAGCATGTTTTTCACCATACGTGTCATTCTGCTGGTTACAGAGTACACTGGTAGCTTTACTTTAAACTGCTGCTACCATTTAACCATAATTTAACCAAAACAATAGAAAAATGGACAAATTTAAAAGCTAAAAGCTTTTACTTATACATTACTTATTACATCTACTTTCATCTAACTAATCAGATTTTTGAACTATCCCCATTAATTTTCTAATGTGATTTTAAATCTATTGTTTTAATCATGTTTTTACTTTACTTTTTTGAACAACTCTGTATTTTCTGACTCTGTATTTTCTCATTTGTAAAGCACTTTGAATGACAGCAGTGTATGAAAAGTGCTATATTAATAAACTTGCCTTGCCATTAATACAGATGTTGCAAGTGTTACATGATATATGTATGTGGTAACGACATATGTTTCCATTTTATTGTGGAAACAAAGTTACCAATATTTACAGAATTACCAATATTGTTACATATTCTTGTGTCTCATCAAAGTATCTCAGCTCCAAAATGGAAACTTTACAGGAGGAGGAAAAAATGCTCTTAAATGTAAATAGATGATTACAGTGTTTTCCAGGTAATACTGGATAATTTCTGTTGCTCATTTCATGATAAAATTCTAACACATTGTAAAAGTACAGGTGGCATAAAAAATATACAGACAAAGGTGTTTTGGGTTACAGTAAATGCAAGGTTACATTAAATGCAGCTCAGTGCACTTCAGACAGACATGGAACAAACATAGAAACAACAGAAAATAAAAGTAAAAACAAGCAAGGAAAACCTAATAATATATTAATAATGAGTTAAATAAGGAATTTTAGTTCAGTAGAACAATAATATAGGTCAATGATATCAGTACTGTTAAAAAATATACAGACAAAAGTGGAGGTACAGGGTTTTTCTCTGAAAGTGATGATATATTTGAATTACTGTTCAGGGCTTCTTCTTCATTTTTCTTTATTTTGCAGAACTGTTGTATAAAAGCCAAAGAACACTTGGCTCATGCTTGCACTCAAATCACAGCCGTTATTTGCGACAGCACTCCCTCTAGTGTTCTATTGCTTAAAGTGCCAAGGATCTGTTTTCTTTCAGAGCAGGATAATCTTGCTGTCGTGGGCACACAATGTACAAAAGTGTGTCAAAAGGATGCTCATTAGGATATCAGGCCACGCCCAGACTGTTCTAAGATTCTATTCTACAATTCTGCTGTTTTTTGAGTTTTATCATATTTCTATCTTGTATTTTTATTTTTTCAATGATCTTTTTATAACACTTTATTTTAGTGTTAGAAAAACACTTGAAATCTTTTTCTCTGTGTTTCCTGGGTTTTTCATTAGGCTACTCATAAGTTTCAGAGGCTGTACTGAGCTCAGACTCACCATCATAAAGACAAAGGGCAGGGCAATCAAAATGTTAGCCATGGCGAACGAGGCCACGCTGGCACTGACCAGAAAAGCCAGGCTGACCGCTGACAAACTGACCATACTCATAGTCACACAGTACAGGAAAAATGCTTCCACTTCAGGCTTTAGAGCTGGAAGAGAGAAGGCAAGCATTGTTATCACAATAATCTCAAAGCACAGAGACATATAATAAAATAAAATAAATAATAAAGATGGCATATTGTTGTTTTCAAATGTTCAAATGTTTAAAATTTTTTTTATTGGTCTTATGACAATTATATTAGATAATTATATTAGATCTGTCCATCATAATTATAATTACCATAATTATATTAGATCTGTCCATGCTGACAGCAACTCACATGTTAAGAGCCATTTTGTCCTTTCACCAAAAATCAAACCCCTTTGGGAGTCACAACATTTTATATCCGTTTTACCATCTCGGCTGTAAATATTGGAACAAGAAGCTGGAGAATGAGAAGCGACTTCAGTCTCGTAAAAAGTTGAACGTTGAGAGAACGTCACAATAAACTATTCTACTTTTGCAAAAGTTTCCTGACGGAGATGTGAGAAAAGTGGCTATAGCAGAGCTAAAGCTTAAAGCAGAGCAAAGTTAAGTCTGCATTTTAGTTTATATTATATTTTTTATCCTATACTAGGACATCAGCACATACTGAGACATATTTACAGCCAAGATGGTAAAATATACATAAAACGTTGAGGCTCCCGAGGTGGTTTGATTTTTGTTGAAAGCACAAAATGGCTCTTCTTAACGTTTGGGTTGCCGACCCCTGGCTTAGTTAATATCTTATTTTCTTTTGTATATGTGTTACAGTCCGTGCGCTCGCCTGGCTTGTTCAGTATGTTGCATGTCAGACATCCGTGACACACATTCCTCACAAGTGTAACACTCTGATTCTGATTTATTGCTGATATTTGATTACATTGCCTGTTCTGCACTCAGTCCGAGTTCGTCCACTCACCCATCATGAAGTAGGGGATGGCGGAGAAGATGAAAACTGGGAGGATGCGGTTTGGAATGAGGTCAGCAAACACTTTGGACAGGAAGTACACAGACGTGCGATAGTAGCCACTCGAATTCTCGTGGCTGTGGATGAAAAAGGGAGTCAGGAAATGGGCTTCGGAGCAAACCCTGCATCCAATATCAACAGCAGACACCACGGCCTTACATGAAGAGCACTCTCTCACTGATGAAGAGCTCCACTGCAGACAGGTTACCAAAGACCATGTTGATGACCAGGAAGAAGAACGCTCCAGTCCTGAAGGAAGAACAAACACTGGTCACTAAGAAAAGCTATAACAGAAAATTCAGCAATATCCTCCAGTGTTCCTGTAAGGGGGTAACTCTACATGATCTTCCTCACTCAGGGGGCCGGCAAAGACTGTCATACTAGTTTTAATCAACTCTCCTCAGGTTGCATGTTAGCACTGTTGTCCTATGGATTGACTGATACCTTACAGGTGGTGATCTTTATCAAATAGGGCTTTTTCTTTGTCTTTATTTTTCCTTTTTATGTTCTTTTTGCTTTTTTTATTTATTTAAAGCCCATTGAACTACCTTTCTGTATCAAACGTGCTATATAAATAATCTTCCTTTGCCTTGATTAATTTCTTAGCATCTGGATGGCTGTTAAACCTGAATCCTGAATCGGGCTTATATTAATAGGATAATAAGAGGAAAGTGTGTGTGAGCTCACCTGTTCTGTAGAGCCTCTGGTAGTGAGTTGGGAATCTGATAGTAGATCAGTCCCACTAGAACACCGAAGAAAATGTTGAGGAACAGCTGCGCGTAGGAGGTCTGAGGGTTCCGCAAGATGTTCTTCACTGTGCGGGCGCTCACCAGCATGAGCTGCAGAACAAAGGAGAACAATATAGAACAAAACTCATTTCAGAAACATAGTGAAGTTTAAGTATCTATTTACTTAAGTATATATTAACTTAAAAGCAAATAATAGACTAAATAGCTAATAATAATAATAATAATAGCTAATAATAAATTAAAGCTATTAACACCAATAAGAGGTATCCCCACTAACTTCCACTCACTGTTAGCCACTTTGCTATTAATGCCTGGAGTGCTCCTTCAAATAATAATAATAGTAATAGTAATAATAATAATAATAATAATAATAATATACAGTATACTTATTAAATGCAGCTCAGTGCACTTTAGACAGAAATGGAATAAAAAAAGAAACAACCGAAAATAACACAAGAAGTAAAAACAAGAAATAATAATATATTAATAATGATGAGTAAAATAAGGAATTTGAGTTCAGCAGAACGATAATTTAGGGCTATGATATCAGTTTTGGCAGATAATTGCTTAAACAAATTATCGCAGCGTTTAGATTTGACCACCATTTCAAACTGACATTTGATGACATATTTATTGTACTCTGGAAGAGCTGAATGTTTCGGCGATGCTGAGTTACTGTGATAATATATCAGCATTTTACTTATTTTACTGTATTTGTAACTGTACAGAAATAAATATTTCTATGTATTGTTAATCCAGGTAGATTTAGTCAATTTCTGCATTTTATAAATGTTTATGCATCTGTATTAACAGATCTGTATATGAAAAATATTGCCTACATGTCCCATATTGATGCTTCCCAACAACAAATAAAACAATGTTAAGTTCAATGATCTTAGACCAGGGGTGAACAACTCTGGTCCTGGAGGCAAAAGCAAAAATGAACAATTTTTTTCAAATTAATGAAATTATTATTTTTAGTTTTTATTACAGTTTTTATTACATTACATTTTTATTACACTAATACATTATTATACATTATTTATTCATTTTTATTACAATAAGTATGGGAAATTTATGATATTTCATTCAATCTTTAGGTCAGGTGGGACTGCTAACAAAACAAAAGAAAATAAAATTTCATTGTGAACTAAATACGAAAGGTACACATATGGGTACTGTTAGATGCTCATCCAGGATATAACTACACAAAATATCATCACTTTACACCAATCAGCACACATTCTTTGGTATTTTTCCTCATCATACTACATTTAGTTGTTGGGCATGAATGTGTTAATGGTTATAAAACCAAATAAAGAGTGTTCAAAGGTAAAAAAGTACAGTGAGATGTTCCTCATATGAGATATATGAACACTGCCTGACATACTGAGACATTATTTACCTGGTAATAAAAGGGTGTGGCATAGTTGGCTTCTTTACTGGCCGGTCTGCTCTCGGGCTTCAGCCCCTCTGTCAGTTCCTGGAGCTGCTCAGTAACTCTGCAGCACTGCGGAGACTGTCTGTACTTTACAGCCAGAGGATTCTCACTGACCACCAGTTCACCACCGTTCACATTCTCTACACAAACACAGGGGACAGTACAGCTGTCTAATCTACAGTATCACCAAGAGCTGTGTTCTACAGGAAAGAGTGGCTGTACCATTGTTCAACATTTAAACAACATAAAATTTACAGGTTTGTTAGAGGAGAATTCCACCAATTTTTCTAAAATTCTGCATAATTCAGTAGTTGAGATGTAAACAAAGTCATTCAGAGAGGTGAGTGTAGTTTTATATAACTCAGTTTCTTCATAAGCTGCACTCATTACCTGATTTGACAGAATCAGCTTGAGGAAGCAAGGTTTCGTTGATGATGTCAAGGAAGAAATCTGCTGGGTTATTGAACGGACCACATTTGTAACCTATGAGAAAGAACACACCTTTAAGTCTCACAAGACTTAAGACTCAAGTATCACAGCAAAACAACAGCAATGTTTCATCTTAAATTAGGTTCTCATTGCAGGCTCTGCAATGATCTTTGGATTCAGGACCGTTTCAGTAGATTCAGTGATGATTAACACTGGGGTGTTGAGGTGTTTTAGTCTGCGTAGCAACGCTGATTTTAATAAAAAAAACATTATTATAACTCTTATAACTAATTTACTTGACATATAAAAACTATGAATAAGCTATGGTGGCCCGTAGGTTAAGAATGCTCAAATAATGTTTTACCAAGTATTAATTCGTAACTGATTTATTGAAAATTTCCAGTAATCATTTGATGTAGTTTCAATGTAGGAATCATAGACCTTTAAATGCTTTATCTAATACCTAGTCCTTCAAAATAGCTTATGGCTTTGTCTGCAGAGCCTGCGTAGATGATCTCTCCCTTATTCATGAGCGTGAGGTGGTCGAACTGTTGGAAGATGGAGTAGCGAGGCTGGTGAATTGAGAAGATGATAGTTCTCCCGTTCCTGGAGAGCCTGCATGGGAATACAGCACATTTGTGAGGTTGGTTAAGTTGAAGTGAAATGCATGATTGTTTGTTTTTAGTGGCAGAAACTTCATGGAAGCGTTTCAGGGAGGGGAAGAACTACTAACCATCCAAGTGAATTTCAGGCTGGTGTGTTTGCATAAACCGAGGACGTGATCTAAGTAGTTCTAGAAAAAACTGTTAAGTGAATGTGGTGAGGAGGTGCATTAAACGACCCATATTCTACACCTTTCTTGTACTTTTCGAGAAGGTCTGGCTGTAGACATGCACTCTCAGCCTGACATGCACTGCCAGCCTATTAGTGATGTCACTGCGCGCTCTGCCACGACAGTGTTTTTGTCGGTTTTATGAGGGAAAACAGTGGACCACGTACTGCTGGGCAACAAGAGTTACACTGAATGTATACTAAGGTTGTCATATTGATAACAAGACAACTGAATATGGAAACTTTCTAAATAAAACCTACCACAATGAATGAATGTGAAGGTTTATTTGCAGAAATAAATGGTGATGGTTTTGCTTCCTAATGGGAACTGGCTTGATGGTTGCCAACAAACAGATGTATCTGGAATCTGTCCCAGAACATCTAATTAAATTATCTGAATCCTTTACATGGTGATATCAACCCATCAGGAAAACAGAGAATACCATTAGCGACTACCGAACACCACCAACCAACAGACACTTTTAAAGGATTCATTACATTAAATGAAACTCTCTGGCTGAGCTATGGATGAAAAATGGAATAAGTGATGATATCACTAAGCAGAAGCAGCCAAATGTTAACGTGCCGTTGGGCTGTTTCTGCCGTTGTGGCAGAGAGTGCATGTGCAGGTGACGTCACTGGGGCTGAGAGTGCATCTCTCTGAGAGTGCATGTCTGCAGCCAGGCTCTATTGGTACTTTCCCTGAGTTGTAAGTTATTTTTACATGACCAGGCTATTTTTGGTACTGCACCTTTAAGATTGATATGTGTAAATGACATGCAAATGTAAATGGCTTGTAAATGTAAATACTGTTCGGATTGGCTGCCCTGTATGGTGCCTTGTCCAAAATGCAAATCCTCAGCGATGTTCGAATGTGGATGTTTGGATGGCTGCAATGACACATTTGCTTCCCCACAGTGAGGAGCAGCAGTATGTTTAATAACTACTGCTGTCTACAGACCGTCTGGGCAGAATGAAGGAGGAGTGCCATGCTTACTTATGCAGCAGAGCGATGATCGCATTAGCAGTGTTGGAGTCCAGGCCCGTGGTGGGCTCATCCAGGAAGAGGAGAGAGGGGGAGGTGATGAGCTCCATGCCAATACTGCACCTTTTCTTCTCCCCACCAGATACACCTCGCAAAAACATCGTGCCTATCTGAGAGCAAGAGAAATGGAAAAATGTGTACTGAGAGGCTGATATAATAAAGCTATTGTTGCTGTCAAAACAAAACCTTTCATCTAAAAATAAAACATTATTAGTACATAAAATGCATATAGGACAGAAAGCAGTGATGTGCAAGTTCATCACAAAGAAGTGATATTTGATATTTTACCCTATCAGCTTTTTAGATTTTCGTAAAAAAAAAAACGCTAATTTCCAAATTTGCTGCCTGCAACACATTCCAATAGTTATGACTGGGCCAATGTAAGACTTGGAAATGTGTGAAATGTTCAAAAACACTTGTTTTGAAACTTTCCACAGGTAAACAGGTGAAGAGGAAACACAATGATTGGGTATGAAAGGAGCATTCACACAAGGCTGTCACCACTTTGAGAAAAACTGCACAAGATAATAGTCTAACAGTTTAAGAACGTTTTTCAACATGTGACTGCAAAGAATTTAAGCATTTCACCATTTACAGTTCATTGCATTATTAGGTTTAGCGAATCCAGAGAAATCTCTGTGTGCAAAGGGAAAGGCTAAAAAAACAAAACTGAATGCCCATGACCTTCGATGACTCAGATGGCACTGCATTAAAAACCAACAACATTGAGAAACACCGCCAACTTCTCTCGGTTTCTGGAAAGAATGTAGATCGTGTTCTCCAGGCTAAAAAAGAAAAGGGCCATCTTGATTCTTACCAATGCAAAGTTCAAAAGCCAGCACCCATCAAGGTATGAGGGTGTGTTAGTGCCAATACTTGCCCATCTGTGAAGGCACCATTAATGCTGAGAGGTACATACTCAATCTGAAGCAACATATGCTGCCATCTAGACATCGTCTTTTTCAGGAACATGCCTGCTTGTTTCAGCAAGACAATGCCAAGCCACACTCTACATGTGTTACAACAGTACGGCTACATAGTAAGAGAGTGTTGGTGCGAGACTGGCCTGCCTGCAGTCCAGACCTGTCTCCCACTGAAAACGTGTGATGCATGCACGTGTGACGACAACAGGAGCTGAAGTGTTACACCAAACAAGAATCAGAAAAAATCCTGTCACAACTTTTTCAGAACATGTCACAAACATTAAATTGGAGAAAAAGCATGTACATGCAAAAAAAAACATAAAAGTTAATTAGTTAAAACATTATATATCTGGTTTTTGTACTGTTTTTAATTGAATACAGGTCAAAAAGGATTTGTTGTCTATTTTTAGATCATTGTTGTCTATTTTTTATTTATTTTTTCCTACTGTCCCAGCATTTTTCAGAATTGGGTTTGTAAGGTTTTTAATACCTAGTAGTAATTTTTGACAATTTCTGTTTATCCAGTCATAACGAAATGCTCTCACGATGTAATAAGCATAAAAAAATTGGATTTAAAAAGGTTTTAATCTCAGCAACAATACCTGATTGTGTATTCAACATACTGGGCTGGAGGTTAGGGATCTAGCCTTGTGACCAGAAGGTCGCTGGTTTGATCCCCTCAGCCAACAGCACGTGACTGAAGTGCCCTTGAGCAAGGCACCTAACCCCCCAACTGCTCCCCGGGCGCCGTGGATAGGGCTGCCCACCGCTCCGGGCAAGCGTGCTCACTGCCCCCTAGTGTGTGTGTTCACTAGTGTGCATGTATGTGGGTGTTTCACTGCATGGATGGGTTAAATGCGGAGGTCTAATTCCTCTGTGTATTGAATTCAGAACCATTAGCCAACTGCAAACACACTATACTCCAAACATCCTGTCCATTAGAAACACTAAGACACTCAAATCATTTCCGCATGCTTACTACACATCTGATTCTGAGAAAAGTGAACACGAAGTGTCAGTACTTTGGTGTCAGCGCAGTCTTTCAAGCCCAGTTCCTGAATGACTGATTCAACCTTCATGGCTTTGTCTGAGGAGCTGTGGTCTGCTGGTGAGAGCTGGAGATTAGCGGAGAAAGTGAGGTTCTCCCTAATAGTGAGGGTACCCATCAGAACATCATTCTGGAACAAGAAAAGACACAAAAGGACTTTAACACAGCAGCGTTCAGAATTACTGGCACAGTTGGTAAACATGCCTTGAAGTTTGTTATTACTGTCATTTTGCTATACTGTTTAAATGTAACTGCATAATTACTCAGTTTTCCTGAGGTTTGATAAGTTGGAACAGGCCAAATAAATCTCCAATAATGCCAACATTTGAAAAACACTATGGAAAACTACAAATTCAATGATTTTATTCAGTGTTTCACACAGTGCACTGCACCAAATCCAGTTAAAGATTAATAATTATGCTCTCCTTATAATGAAACACAGTGCTTTTTAGGTACTGATGATTTCCAAGAAAAACATATTGCAACATGACGTAATTTATTACAATAACGATATCATCATATTCCTGAGCTCTAGCGATAAGTGAGAAATAATTAACATAAAATTACATCATGATTTTTTTATTGCTGCTGAAATCTGTTACCTATGATAGTTAACTCGTCTCCACTTCGAAAGGACAAAAGTAATTGCAAATAATTCCTTTCACACAGGACAACAGCAGTAACAGCAGCCTGAACTCTCACCTGAACCACATAAGCAGAGGAGAGTCTGAGGCTGGAGGTCACAATCGCACCGTCCACCAGAACCTGCCCCGATTTCAAGCCTTGAGGATCTTTCCTTCCCGCAATTACATCTAGAAGTCTACAGCAGGAAACGATAACGATAACATTCATAAACACAGAGCTGATAAGTAAATCAATTCAGCGCAGAGTTATAGCTGATACACAGAGGCGTCTCTGGCACAGAAAGCCTGGTGGGGCACAATAAACTGTAGGGGCAGCAGCCAACTCATCAATGAAACTGCACACAGACTTGATCCAAACACAAACGCACTCACAAATTAACCTAACGTGGTGCAGGAGTTGGTGGAAGTGGAGACAAGGAATATGAATGAGATGATAACTACATTAGATCTCACAAAACCTGGTTAGCAGTTTACGAGTTTACGATCACTGTGGTCTCCAACTACATATCCAAAGCAACATATCAGAGCAGGGAAACACCCTTTCTGGGCTTTAGGAATAACACGCCCTGTAATAATGATGAATAACTCACCAGTGACAGTCACTGCTCGAAAGACAAGATGCATGACGATCTTTCATCTGGACAAACTTGTCAAAACCTTTTCTCTCAGAGACCACCAATCCATGAAGGAATTCCAGTGATAGCATAGCAAAGCCAGGCAAGGAAAGCAAGAGACTGCTTTTAGCTACACTCACAGTTAGCCATGTTTTTCTCTTGAACCTCTCTGGACTGAAGGAGCAGTTTTTGTCCTTTCCAGACTGAATGGTGTTGAAATCCTCTGGCTGGTGTATCCCAAACGTTTAATCTCTAATTTCTGCTCAAATTGCTGGCACCAAATTGAGCTTTTATTGTGTTTTCGACTTGACTCATTATATTGCCTTGCTAATATGAGCGGCTACCACAACTGATGAGGAACAATGGCCAGGCCCCGCCGGCCTCTAATGTAGAGACGCCTCTGGTTATACAAAACAACTTAAATGAGAACAGTTTAATCCTCTGAATGCACTGCATGATTTAACACAGCAGAAACGCTGCTGTTAACGAGAGTCTAATTAACCAGAGAAAAGAACAGAAAAATGTTACTCACGATGTTTTTCCACTGCCAGTGGGGCCCATGACTGCATTCATCCCAGAGTTCATAATACCACTGTAACATAAAAGCACATACTTTAAAAACACACAGGTAAACAAGTTTTCTGATTCATATCATTTCAAGCCAGACAGAAAAATCTATAGTCCTGTGGTGATATGGTGATAGTCCAGTGTTGAAATCATCTTCATACAGGCAGCCATTCAATTACAATATCAAGTCACATGAAAGGGTTAAGGCATCCCTCCTCAAATTGAATGTTTTGTTGATTTTCTAAGTGAAACTAAATTAACACATCCTCTACAGAGAACACACTTCTGCACATTTTAATAAGCAATCACTGCTTATTTGATGAATTTAACAATTAAAAAAAAACAGAAAATGTGGCCTGTGCAAAAGTTCTTTTTTTATGTATTTTTCCCAATGTGTTTAACCCCTTAAATGCCAGGGACCACCAGCAGGCCCAAGGTTTTAATACACACTTCTATAATCTAAGAATAGCTCAGCCAGTTTGCACTGAAGTCCCTGTAGTTACTGGATAATAAGCCTTAGTATGTAATAAGCCTGGGATTTAAAGGGGTTGAAGTCAGCAAATAAATAGAATTTGTGAACTAAAATGTGTAGAGAAATGCCATATTTAAGTTTGCTCCCTGTAGAAGATGTGTTACCTCTCCGAGGATACTGCTTCTGCTGCTGCACAGACTCAAATGATATTATAACCATTGCTTCAACTGTTTTTCACCATTTCTGTATTTTAATATTTTATACTAATGCTGTTTGCTACCCAGTGCCTCTTGCTCTTAAGGAGTTTTTCCTTGCCACCATCGCCATTGGTGACACTCATGGGGGCTTGGACCTGGATTTTTCTGTAAAGCTGCTTTATTACAACACCTTATTACACAGACTTTTTTGACTTGACTTTTTATTTGCACTTAGAAAATCAACAAAACATAATTTGACTGGGGGTGTTCAAATGTTTCGCATATGACCGTACATTACATAACTGTTTTATCAAAACTTTTTTTTCATTTTTCATTTTATACACTATTGAAAACACAACTTACTGATCACATTTTTAAAAATGTCACACAAATGGTGCAAAATTATTTTTTAATAAAATCTGAAAAATGACATCAACATCAATTCTAATTAAAAACACTTTTTTCCTTCTTCTGTAAACTTTCCATTTTTGAGAAAGAGAAACTTTTTTCAGAAACAAGGCTGATATAAACACTACTATTCAAAAGTTTGGAATTACTGTTTTGAATAACGTAAAACCAATTACTAAAAAGAGAATATTAATTTCTATCACAAAGAGGTAACATAGGAAAGGAACAGGCCATAGGCTGTGTGTATGGAAAATTCTAGCTGTAGTCAACTTTGAACCCACATGGAAAGTTACATAAGGTGACTTTGTAGGGAGGGACAGGGCAGCCTGGTACGAGCAGGATGAGACTGTTTTTTTAAAAAAAGAATATTATATACATTTTGATTTAAGAGTTACCAAGAAAGGTAAAGGTTTTGAGTATAATGGGGACTGATATGCACTGTAAAACCTGATGAGTTAAGTCAACTCAAATGATTTGAGGAAACTGATTACATCAAATGTTTTAAGTTCAATAACTCATTTACACTTAAGTAAATTGAGTAAATCGTACTAACTCCATTTGTTTTGTGGACATTAAAATGATTGAGTATTTGGGACTTAAGTTTAAAATGTTATTACATTATAGTTAACTAATTACAAATTAAATTCACCAATCAAGCTATTGTTTTGACAAATTTATATGGTACTGCAAAAACATGATCATAGACGTTTGTAACTAAGACTAGTCCCACCCTGATGTCACTATAGACCACCACACTAAACACTAACAACACAGACCACAACCCGGCCTCTTTCGCATTTAGCTATAACAGAACTGGTCTCAGCAGAGAGGAACGTAGTAACTCAGCTCTCTCAACATTGAGTTTTGCTCAGTGCTGACTCTCACAAACTCCAAACGTGACGAGGGAAGGGCTGGGGAGAATGACAACACACAGATGGTGAAGAGACACGCCCAATATGTAAATATGTGGTACTAAGAGCCAATAGGAATGATGTGAGTTTTACTCAAAAAGGTTGCATTGACCAAACACTTATCAAGTAAAGCTGAGAGTCTAAACTGAACTGCAATAAGGTTATTTAACTCAAAGATCCCGGTTGCCTGAAATCATGAAAATAAAATTATGAATAAAGCACGAAAGTCCAAATCATTTGAATGTAAACATTTATGCCATCTATCACATTAAGCCACACTAAATTTTCAGCAGTCTTTAGAAACAACCCATTATTGTCCTGTTTGTATTTGCATGTAAAGTCAAGTTAAATAAAAATAGTGAATATAATACATTTAAATAAAGTTAGCTTAATTCAAAATATGACAAAAAAACAATCTTACTCAAAATGACTGAGTTACTATCTTAACAATTCAATTTTGAGTTGATTAGATTTTTTCAGATTAAGTTACTCCAAATTTCTGTAGTATTTAAGTTGTATTAACTTAATTCTTTCATTAAGATGTGCAGTGAGTTTTACAGTGTGGTGCGGAAAAAAAAAGGGCAGGGGTGTCTTATCACCCCAAAGGATTATACAAAAGGGGATGTCTGAGCCTGTCTTTGCGTTTGGGTCTCCGGAGACCTCTTGCCATTTGATGCTGGAATAAAGTGGGGACCTTTTCCTTCTGTCCACAAAAACTCAGCGTCTGAAGTCTTTTTGAAAACTCAGAATTACGTTATTAGTGTAAGTGTACAGTCAGTGTTAGAGATCCAACTATATGTCCAGGCCCTGACCCGTAGGGCTGGCTCTGGGTTGCGACAAGCACCCTGCAAATGAGAGTGTTTTGTTACAAAAAATGCTTAGAAATTAAATTTGCACCAAGATGGCAACTTGGAATCAGACAGAATCCTACAAACCTGACATCTTTGAGGATCTCCTTCTCCACCCACGTCATGCTGAACATTCCAGCACGCTCTTTAACGCAGTAGCGGAGGTTGTAGAAGCTCACAGTGGGACCAGGGGCCGGAACGTTTAAGGCTGCTGTCTCTGAGTCTACAGATGGCTGCTCGCATTCTGCTGCCACCTCCATGGCAATGTCCTCCTTCGAGCTTCTGATCTGCAGAAGAAGTAGAGTGACAGGAGTGAAGGTAAGAGATTTAAAGACTCTTCAAGACTTTCTGTATATAGACTTCATTAGAAATACCTCCTTTGTATATCTACTCACTGACCACTTTATGAAGATTACCTACAGGTGTACGATTACAGACTGTAGCTCATCTCTACCCCATTCATTATTGGTCAGTTTCTGACCACAGAACCACTGTTGACCAGACACATTATATGGCCAAAGGTATCCAGACACCCTTCTAATGAGTATATTCAGCTACTTTAAGGTGGAGCGATTGTTGACACAGGTGTTCAGTTCTGCACTTAGCTTGTATAATCTCCATATAAATGCATAGACCAACAGACGCTCATGAGCCTAAAGTCGCTATGCCCAAAGCCAAGTGTTGGCTAGAGGGGTATTATGCCCCCCAGCACTGGGCTGTGGATCTGCATTCTCTGGAGTGATGGATTTCCATCCAATACCTTTGGGATGAGTTGGAATGATACAAAGAACAAAGAATACACAGATATCAACTTTCTTTGTTTATTCTTATTTTGGTTTCAAAGTTTGCAATTGGAGAATGAAGCAGTAATATATATTAATATATGTTTTATAACTATATTATTTTTAATATAGATAATACAGTAACACACACACATAACAATATACATATATAAAAAAAATCATGTGTATGTATTTATGTAAATATATTTATATATGTGTGAGTGTGTTGCTATATTATCTAAATTATAAATGCGCGCACACACACACACACACACACACACACACACACACACACAAATATGCATATTATCTAAGTCGCTTATCCTTCTGGGTCACGGGAGTGCTGGAGCCTATCTCAGCGGTCATTGGGCGGAAGGCAGGAAACACTTTGGACAGGTCGCCAGTCCATCACAGGACTTATAAATATATACACACATGTATATCACTGCTGTCAGAACAAAACCTTGTTACCAAAGTTACCAAAATAGTAACTTTACAGGAGAAGAAAAAAAACATACTGTACTTTTAATGTAAGTCAGTGGAACCAGACTTTTTTATAAGTAAGTTTGGGCCATTTCTTTTGGGCCATTCATCATGAAATTTACACACAATGTAAAGAGCATCAGGCATTTTCAAATGATGCCAAAAACTGAATATAAAAACGACAAAAATGGAGATATGGGGCTTGGTTCCGACAGCAGCAATATTTATAATATAGATAATATAATAAAATACTCACAAATAATTAAATATACATGTGTGTAATATATATATATATATATATATATATATATATATATATATATATATATATATATCGTTGAGATGCTTAGAACGCCCTCCTCAAACTGTCCACTACACGGAAAAAAGTCATGCAATGAATTTCCACACCACTGAATGTTAAGTCCGCACAATTTTTCCAACAGTAAGCAAAAATGACACAATTGCGTTGATGTAACATATTTTATTTATGTGAATTATGTTTTTGAATTCAAGGCATCACTTTTTTCAGTGTAGATATGCCTAATGCAAAAGGCTAAGCTATGCGAAGCTATACAGTAGCGGCGCTGGGGGCGTGGCCTCTTCCGGAAAAAGGACGTTTATTGTTGTGTTTGTTGTTGTTAGTCTAAGCTGTGTTTTGTGGTGTTTGTGCTTTCTTGTGTTGGGTTTTAGTGGCTACCATAGGGCGAAGATGCGTGGTTAACAGACTCCTCCACTGCTGTTCCGGCTGTTATTCATGTTCCTTTTCTTCTAGTGTAAATAAAGAGCAGAAATCATGGTGGCTTCTCTCTCCCGTGCCTCCTTCTTCACCACGGTGCTAGCTACTACAGCTACTATACGCTAGAGTAAGCTAATAACATGTAATAAACATGTTATATCGCTTTCTAAAGCTTCTACCAACACTGTTTGGCTCGGGTTTTAGCAAGACTAGCGCTTTAATTCGAGCGGATATTGCCTGGAAATAACATGTAGGATAAGCTAATTCAATCTTGCCCGCCGGCGTTTGTTCGAATTTTCCCGTTCCACCTTAAATGTGCAGCTGTTACGTTCTGGCGCCTGTAACAGCTGCACCATTTAAGGTGGAACGGGAAAATTCGAACAAACGCCGGCGAATAGGAAGCTGACTTCGGCCTTCTCTCAACGCATCTTTAGCACCTGCAGCTCAGTCGATTGTAAATGAAATGTAATGAAGATCAGCAGATATGTGTGCTATAGGTCAGCGCTAGAGGAGCCCGGCTGCTCCGTGCTTCCCGTATTCTTCCATTCTGAACGCAAACGTGCATGCTCGACTATATTAACTGTTATAGGCAGGAAAGTTAGTTACTTACCATTGTGTGGTGGCTCATGCAGGGCTTCGGCCTTATAGGGTCTCTCTGAAGTCTTGGAGACCTTAGTTAAGCATCGGACACATCTGTTGCGAGCACATGCTTCATATTGGCCGGTAGGATGGCCCTGGAGGCTGGATTGGGATAACAAACACCTCCTCCTACTCCCCCCAGCACAGACTGGCGTTTAACTTTCTAGGGCTGCGAGTCGATCTCTAAAAGAGTCGATTCCAGGCATTGGTGACTCGAGTTGATTTCGACGTTTTGTCACAGTGTCAGAGGTTGGCCGGTAGGGTGGCCCTGAATGCTGGGTTGAGATTACCAACACCCCTTACTCCCCCAGCATAGGCTGGGGCTTAATTTTCTAGGGCTGTGAGTCGATCTCTAAAAGAGTCGATTCCTTGATTCCAAGCATTCATGAATCGAGAGTCAGCTCCAAACTTTTGTCACAGTGTCAGAGGTTGGCCGGTAGGATGGCCCAAGAGACTGGATTAGGATAACCAACACCTCCTTTTCCCACAGCACAGGCCGGGGTTTAACTTTCTAGGGCTGTGAGTCGATCCCTGAAAGAAACGATTCCTCGAGTCGTGAATGGAGAGTCGACTCCGAAGCTTTGTCACAGTGTCAGGGGCGGAGCCAAGAGGTGGACAGAGGTGGCCAGTGCCACCCTGGACTGAAGCATGGACACCCTTCTGCCCAGCACAGTTATGTACAATGATACTGTCAGCCATCATTTAGAAAGCTTCAGATTTAGATTCAGAAGCTTTAGATTCGCTTGCACAGTGCGGTCTAGGGAGCCTTTTAATTATTAGACTCATGGATAACCTGCAGTGAATGCAACCTGAATGAACATTGAACCTGAATGAAAAACATTTAATACAGACAGGCCATTAAAGTTAATGCTGTGCACTGAAAGAAAGTGATACATTTAATTTACTTGATGCAAACACAGTTTCCTCAGGGATGACTAATATATATCAGCACGGTTTTGTCTTTTAGTTTACTTTCATCAACAGTTGTATTGAACTGAATTGCATTGTAATATTTTATTCGAAAAAAAAATCTTTTACGTGTAAATGATGGACAGACTTAATTATGTACAGAGAAAAAAACAACACATGAATAAATTATATATCATTTTAATACAGTAATGTTTTTTTTTCTTAGTAGCATGCCACTCCAGTTAAATCTCTGGGTCTTATCTGGTCAACCCATTCTAAAAGTTCTAGCTACGCTCCTGGACAGTGTTTGTTTTCTAGACAGCCTGTTTTCCACTACTCACACATCGATAGCCTGCTTGTATTTTACTTTAGGGAAAGCGGAAAACACTGCAAAACGTAAAATTTGCCAGCACTAAATTATCTACCCAGCTGAGTAGTTTGATTTTATAATTACATTTTTTTTTGGATCAAGATGACTGTGGATTCGACTGCATCGATTCCCGTCGCTTGGAATCCAAATCTGTGTTGACTCTAAAATTTCTGGAATTGAGCAGCCGTACACTTAAAAGAAGATGGTTCTTCAAGGGTTCTTTAGTAAAGAAAATAGTTCTATATAGAACCATTAACACTAAAAGAACTATTTGCATGATTTAAGGGTTCTTTGCATTGTGAAAGCGTTCTTCATTGATGGTTGATGGAGAATGTGCTGTAGATGGTTCTATATAGAACCTTCTATCTAGCATAGAAGAACCCTTTTTGGTGCTATATAGAGCCTTTTCAAAGAACCCTTTCACAATGCAGAGAACCCTTAAATCATGCAAAGCGTTCTTTTAGTGTTCATGGTTCTATATACAACCATTTCCTTTACTAAAGAACCCTTGAAGAACCATCTTTTTTAAGCGTGTAGGGGTAACTAACACGCCCTAGTCCGGGATACGCCCCCTACTTCCCAAACAGTTGGAACCCAAGATTCAGATCAATAACTCATAAAAAGGAGCATTAGTCACCGAGTGTGTTCACATGTACCGGAAATACGCAAGCAGCAGTTGGCAGATGGCAACAAAACACTTTTGGAGTGGCACTGAAACCAAATACATGCCTGACGAAATGAAGGATTTAAATATTCTTCATCTTCTAGATGATGTATGTTCATATTGTCAGGTAAACCGGCAAGAAGTTTGAGTTTTACATTACATTTCGTCTAGGCTGGTTGCAAAGCAGAAATCTGATTACTGCCTGATTCATGTAGACCTGGAACTTCCCCATTATCTGATTACTCAAGTGCATATAAATGCATTGGTCAGATTACTGACAAAATCTGATTTTCTGCAGTTGTTGGAGTATTGCTGCTTATGAATCAATTAACAAGAAGACTACATTGCAAAATACAAGGTGTCCCAAAAAAAATTGACATCAGTTGAGATGTGAATATTGGAGTAACTACATGTCTACATTAAATAGGCTTCATGTTGAACAATACAAGATTTATTCATCAAAATTCAAACAAGAAATTCAGAGGGATATAGATTTTATAACCGATTTCACGAAGCTTCACAAATGTTCAATATGCGCACCGCCTCTGACACGACACACGTCAAGTCGGTAGTCCAGCTCCTGCCAAACAAGCTGTAGCATGTCTTGCGTAACAGTGTCCAGCGCAGTTCCAGTTGGTGCATTTTTATTGAATTTTCTCAAAAATGCACACTGCACACCTCATCATCTAAACCGTTTATCCTTCTGGGTCGCGGTGGGGTGCTGGAGCCTATCACAGCTGTCGTTGGGCGGAAGGCAGGATACACCCTGGACAGGTCGCCAATCCATCACAGGGCAGACATACACAGTCACACACACACTCATACCTAGGGGCAATTCAGCATGTCCAATCAGCCTGACTGCATGTCTCTGGACTGTGGGAGGAAACCGGAGTACCTGGAGGAAACCCACGCAGACACGGGGAGAACAGGCAAACTCCACACAGAAACGACCCGGCCGGGAATCGAACCAAGGCCATTCTCGCTGTGACAGCGCTACCCACTGCGCCACCGTGCTGCCCCGAGCATATTCTAACACACAAAATGCCTTTTCATTTCTAGTGAACGCCGTTCTTCAACCTGAAAAAAAACATAAAAAATTAAACTTGGTTAGTTTTTACACATTTTGTTAAAATTTGAGATCATTTGAGGGAGAATTGGCTGTTATTAGACTACGAAATGATGTCAAATGTTTTAGGACACCCTGTAGTTAAAATCACTATTAGACATCACGTTCGATATGCACAGTGTACTCTTCCGGTGCTGGGGACAGCAGCCAGTCTCTGCTCCTGGGCGTGAAACTGCAGTTTTTGATATGCAACCCCAGCTCTTTGTCTTCAGATCCTCTGATCTATCTGGAATGCTGTTATACATGTTTTCAACTTTTTTTCTAGTGGAAAAGTGAACCGTCCTTCAAGATCAAGAGGCCTACTATCATGCTAAACAGCTGGCGAGTTGAAGGCTTTGGGCTTTCTGATAAGACAAGCACATCCTGATGTAGAATCAAAGAAGACTGATCCTTATACTAAGAACTCCACACAGAAGACACACTCCTCCTGAGCAGTCTAGACGCCTGACAGTTCTAGGCTACATATGAGAAACGCCGCCCTCATGGTTCTGTTTCTTATCACTGGTTTTGTTTACAGGTCTTCACAGGACTTACGTAGGCCAGAGAGCTTTACGTTTGGATGTTCTGTTTTCACTGGTTAATGTAAATAGTTCTAATGACAGAAGCACATTTTCTTTTTCTCTTCATTGTATATTCAGTGCCAGTTCTTCATTCTGTATTCATGTTGCTCTTGCTGTGTTATTTTTTGCTATATGGTGTCGACCAGAGAAGGATGGGTTCTTGTTCTTGTTTCTTCGTCTTACTCTGTTTACTTGCCACCGCAGAGCTCGGCTTGATCATTTGGGGCCTGGATCTAGATTTCTGTGAAGCTGCTTTGTGACAATGGCTGTTGTAAAAAGCGCTACACAAATACATTTTAATTTGTCTAAATTAAATGGAAATTTTACCAATTTAAATTTTTTTTTAGTAATTCCACCGATGCAAAGTAAACAAAGTCATTCAGACTGGTTTGATATAAAATGGTTTGTTATAGAGAAAATTACAGACTCATATTTCTTTACAGTGGTGGTGATAGGAACCAGGGGTCACAGTGTCTTATTTACTATGGGAAATCACGAGTGAACCAACACATGTCTTCTGAGTTTTTATATGTAATGTTGATGATAAAATAGTGGAAAATCTGAACAAAAAAAAAAAAAACATTCCTTGGGGACTATTTTGCCTTACAACGCCCTGCATGTACCTCCACTAAGAACAGCTTAAAAGAAATGGATTAACAAGACGTTTCAGGCCAAACCTTCATCACAAGTCTTTCGTAAAACAATTTTTTTCAGGCATCAGGCAGCGTCTTCATAACCTCGTAACCATTTTGTATAATATCTTTCTGGAAAGCAGCTTTTAGAGGAGGATGTCTGGTTCCTATAACCACCACTGTGAACAACTCTGACTCTGTATGTTTAGCTAGAACTAATTATTTCACACCAAACCTCTCTGAATGACTTTGTTTACATCTGAACCGCTTAATTATGTGTAACTTTGGAAAAATTGGTGGAGTTCCCCTTTAAATCTTTCAGAATGCATGTCTATATTTCAATTGATCTATCAAGTATATACAGTCATATGCAAAAGTCTGAACACCCCTGGTCAAAATACATGTTTTGTTGATTTTCTAACTGAAAGTCAACAAATCCTCTACAGACACTTTTTTTCTTTTTTCTGTACATTTGCTTCAGTTTAACACTGGAAAAATAATGAAAATAATGTGCCATAGACATACTTTGTTTTATATTTTTCCCCACAATATGTTAAATTCAGCAAATAAACAGTAATTGTGTATTAAAATGTGCAGAAGCATGTTCACTGTAGAGGATGTGTTCACTTATTTTCACTTAGAGAATCAACACCACAAGTAATACTGCATACATTTACTATTGGCCTCATGCCGAAGTACATTTTACATTATTGTTGTTGTAAACTTATGAATCAAAACACAAAAGTATGTAAACATGGACATTTTCCACAAATGTATGGCTTACTTCCATTAGCTCTGCTCATCAAGAATCTGCCTTTTCACCAGGATCAATACACAAAATGATCCTTATTTGCTGTGAATAAATATGACAGATATTTTTGCCATTTTACAGTGAGTAAAAGTCTTGAGGCATTATTATTTGCATTAACCAAACAGCATCCTGCTGGTCTCTGGAGTTAAGAGTGGTACTGAATAACAACAGACTTAATCCTTCAGTCGTCTCAATTCATCTGCACAACAATGCAACGTCAAACCCTTCCTGACCAGGCTCACAGGGGTACCTGTGGGGGCACGTTCTCACCTCACCGAGTATGGAGAGGGACAGGGGAGGAAGGGAAGGTAAAAGAGGAAATGAAAACAAAAGCCAGGTCTTTCATTACTAACTTACAAGTTTAAAATCACTGTATTTTGCAAAATGTTTCATACAAAACACTGCAGCACGTCTTTAAAATGGACTTTTGGGCAACAAAATATGTTGACAGTCTTTTCTTCTTTAAAAAAAAAAACCATTCATATCAAACTCATTTCGAAACCTGTTTAAAAAAACAATAACAATACAATTAGATCAAGAATTTGTAAACAATAAAAAAAGACTAAGATTTATGACATGATCTGTGCTGGTAATGAAACTGATATGGCCCCCTGTCAGTGAAATGCAGTAATGCACATGCTTTTATCTCTTATCCTGTGCTTCTGCCTGTGTCCAAAAGCTCTGTAGTGTTAGTGACCATCGCCTACTATCTCTCAGAGCAGCACAGGATGGTTAATCATCACTTTAGACACAAACACTTCACTATGTGCAGGATTTCTCGCTCGCAGCTCAACGACCAGGGAAAATCATTTTGAGGCACTCAAAAAATGCAAAAGGGTATGTACCTGTTAAAGACTGCCTCTTTGCAGGAATCTGGTTTATGTTTTCATAGAAATTCAACACTGGTGAAAGAAATCAAGCACTAGAAAAGAAGGAAATTGATGGTCTCAGTACAGTATCATACTAAAGCAATTAGCCACGAGAGGCCATGGGTTACTGCGATTTAATCAAGGGAAGGGTGTCCTAAAACTCCCTTTCCCCTGATAAAACCGCAGTAACTGCCTCAAGTGGCTTATTGCTTTTATAAAACAGTGGCCAACATAAGATGTACTACAATACACAATGTTTTAGATAATTATTTAAGTTATTATTAAGAATAATCAACATAAACATGTATGCCGCCAAGAAATGTAGTTCCTTTGGAGTAGGGTAAGCTATTGTTGCTAAGCAACCACTGACCGCTGAATGAGGAGAAGAACGTTCGGTCGCCCATCGCTGTAAACTGCAGACATTTCATGATGGTTTAAAAACCTTTTTTGTATAACAGTGAACATATGATAGCACAGTTTGATGCAAACACTTTCAGTTTATAAGTACTTTTTGGTCACCAAATCACCGCGGCGAGTCTTCTGCCAGTCTGACGACGCCACTTTTCTCACGCTGGGGCTGAACCTCAAACGGCTCCCTGCTCCCTACATAGTGCACTACGTAGAGGTTTGAATACTCCTGCAGCCCAACAATGTGAAATATCGCAAAAAAATTGGTCATTTGGGATTCATCCACATTCATTCTCGACAGGCAGTCACTATCTGACAGCAGAAGCTAGAATTTCTGAACTTAATGTTACACAGCTCACTATTTAGCCAGGGAGTACGGAGCCGTTTGGGATTCAGTCTGGGTTTGATGCGACTTCTGACTGAAACACAGATATTTGAAGTGTGTAAGACATTCAGGTGACATTCTTTAGCCTTTTATACTGCAGTTTTCAGTTAATCACATCGTGAGTACTTTAATTCAAGCCTGTGATATTAATGTTGGAGTTGTTTAGCATGTTTGCTGTCTTCTAGCCTGCTGGCTAGCTGACCAGCCTAGTTCTAGATAACAAAATAAGTTTTCAGCCCCTCAGTTTAAACAAAAACAGGTTCTTATTTCATCAGTGCACTCGGTGCTCCGTGCGATCAGCGTTAGAGTCAAAGATGAATCCATTAACAGCAGAAGGGGTTTTCGTGCTGTGGCGCAGTGATACAGAGTTCAGTTGTTGTGAGGCGGTCATAGGCGTGGTATACGCAGATTTTACAACGGCTTCGAAAGCGGCTCAGCCAATCAGATTTTAGGACCGGAACTGTGTGTTTTCTATAATGAAATTTTAAAACTATATATCAAAACTAAACAATATGGCCAATACGCCCCTCTGCCTTTTCCAAGGGTCTCTCTTAGAAACCACGGTCAATGACCAAAAACTAGACATCTAGGGACGGATTCTCAAAGCACTTAGGACAGTCTTAACACACTAGGACCATTGTAAGTTCCCAGCCTCGGTCAAAACTGGCTGCTCCAGCAATTCCCATAAGATTTTGAGCCTATTTCGCCACATCACCGGTCTCATCTGTGAGTGTGACTGTAGTAAAATTTAAGACCACTTCACAATCTTAGCAGGATAACACCAGGAAATGTGTTTTCTTTCAGGAACATTAAGAAGAGAACACTCCCACTTATTGTGAACCGCATTGAATCAACTGCCAAAACTCACAGATCATAAATTCAACCTTTGTACCTGAACTTTATAATTTGATACCACTTTCAATCAGCATCATTAATGTTGCCCTCAGCTAAGGTCAAAGATGTATCATGTGGTCCTCCTCACTCTCTTCCCATTGGCTGTGTGCATATTGAAAAGCTGTCTGTCATTGGTAGACAGTAAATCAGCAGACGATCTGCCTTCCTTCTAAGGTTTAGACCAGGGCTAATGCCACAACTACCTTAGGAGGTCTTGGAGTTCTTTTGAGAATGAGGCACAGGGAAGGTTACTAGCTGGTCACAGAGCGGTTCTAGGTCCTAAAGCTTTGAGAAACCGGCCCCAGGATTTATGCTATCAGAATAAACTTGACAGGACAGGCAGGGCTTATGCTCTGCACATACTCGTGCTCAAACTCCTCTGCTCACTCCTAAACTCTAGGGGTTGTGATTGTAAGAGGGCGGAGCGGCAGGTGCTGGAGAATTCATAATCTGAGCCAAACCAATTTGTCTAGTGGATTATTTAGAGCTCTGTAGAATCGAGACCATTTAAAAACAAATTTGAAAATCAAATCAAATCCTGACCTCAGAATTAAAAAGCATATCAATTCTGAAAATATATGTACGCACCTCCACCAAGGACCCTACTGACCCTACACTATCTATATTCACCCTAATATTTCAGCCTTGCCCAGATTAACCCTTAAATGGTCAGGACCCATCAGTGAGTCCAAAGTTTTATTATATACTTTTATAACCTAAGAATAGCTCAATCAGTTTGCAGTAAATTCCTGCAGTTCCTGAAAAATAAGCCTTAGTATGTAATAAGCCTGGTATTTAAAGGGGTTAATAAGCATTTAAACAACTTTCTGAATACCTTGTTAATCTAGCCTTGCACATGTGGCTGGATGAAGCTGTTATGTGCATGCCAGCAAATCTCATGATTGATAAATCTGATGGAAAATCAGCCAAACAGCTTTGAACAGAGGAATGAGCTGCACAAGAATTTATGCTACTTTAAATGGAGAAGGTCAGTGTTCACGTGGTACATGTAACAAATCTATGGGCACTCATTAAAACATTGAGACGTCTCTTAAATGTTAGAAAGAATTGTGCTACGTTAAAAAGTAAACTCAATGCTCATAGGCTGTTACAGCAGAGCTACTGGATTTACTGGCAATTTTGTCACTTTTTATCTTTAAGGAAATACACATAATTAAAAATAAACATAATTAAAACATAAGAATTGCAGTCCTCCCAAAAATAAATCAAACAACTCTCTGCCTATGCTGGGACACCAATACTGAATTGGACAACTGTCACCATGTGAAATCCTGCACACAGAGCCTTTAAACATCCAAGCGCTGCAGTGCTTTCGACTGGACACAGGTTGCTAGTGTACTAGTGTGTCTTTGAGTGGAACTCTACTGCTGCGCCTGAGGAGGGCGGAGGGGGGGTCACTGTTCCTTTCAGATAGGGATTATAATACAAAACCTGAAATGAGCAACATTTTCCACCCAACATAATCAAACAAAACAGAGTAAAAGCTCATTTAAAACGTGGTTAACTGGTTATGACGTCGTTCCAGTTCATTTTCACAGAATCAGGAATTAGAAACAAAATGTTGTTTGTCTTATTTTGCTCTGAACAGAAACAACTCCAGGTTATGGTCCAGTGTTATGCACAGTGACAACAGTGAATTAAATATAAAAATATAACAATGGTTAATAACATCCTCCTGATACAGCATACTGTGCTCATATTAGGTCTATTTAAAAAGCAATACTGTCAGTCACTGTTGCATTTATAATAACTACAGATGCATAAACGGAATCAGCACACTTTTGCCCCAGACCTGCCGTCGGCAATCAGCCAATTTAATACTTTGCTTTTGGCTGATTTGTTTAATTTTATAATGTAAATAACATTCATTGCATTAAACATCCTTATCCTAATCCTTTGGTGTAGCACTTTGTGGTTCATGTTATTTAAATAGGCAGCTACAAATTTAAAATGGCAGTTTATCCAATTAAAAAGCAAATAATGTTACTTATATTGTGACTTTGGCTAATAAAATTACTAGAAATATGGGTCACACTTTATTTGGATGGTCCCCCATAGATGATCTACAGGTACTTAAATCATTAACAAACTTTCTGGTGATCCTCAGTTGATCATCAACAACATTAAGGTTAGGGTTAAGAGTAGGTGTAGGTTTTGCCTTGAGGTTAGGTTTAGGATTAGAGATCTAAAATCTTCCACGCTCAACTTCACATTCACTTGCATTTGATAGACGGCTCTTGGCCAATTTGGTGGTAAAAAAAATCAGAATCAGAATAACATTATTATAAATAATAATGTTAGCCAGTTAAACCACATTTTAAAATAAAGTTTCAATTTTAAAGAGTTAAAAGTGATTTTGTTCTTGTTTTCGATTATGTTCGGTGAAAAATCTTGCTCAATTTTGGTGTTTGTTTGTGTTCACTGTTTGTTTTGTGAGCTTATCTCTGCTTTCAGATGCAGTCAGATACAGTGGACCAGAAGCACAGAGAAGGCAGAGCCTACAGCCAACCCCATAGTCAGGAAGAACGACATGGCCACTCCAGCGGGCTCGGCCAGCTCCCGTGGCACCACCTTGGGCCCGTAGATCATGGGCAGTGTGCCCAGGTATCCGTTAGAGAGTCCTAGCAGACAGACGAAGACCACAGGGAATAAATCATGGGCGAAAAAACACCTGGTCCAGGTGGTGCCGCGGCTTGTAGTTACAGAACATGAAAAGTGGCACCAGGACGGTCCTGCAGAGAACCAGTGTGGGCAGCAGCCGACTGGTGGGACCTGGCACCTGCAGCCAGGCGGTCACCTGCCGGCCACAGAAGTCAGACACGTTGTACAGGAAGAAACTGGTGAGTGGCACAAAGTAGACGGTGGTCCAGGGGTTGCCTGAGTCTTGGTCTACTGACTGGATGCCTGAAGAGATGGCTGGGAAGATCATAATGGAGACGAAGAAGACGTAGAAGACACAAAAGCCCAGCACCCAGGTCTTCCTCAGGATGGGCCTGAGGGGGGGCACGGAGACTGCAGTTGGACTGCCGTGGCCGTTGGATTCAGAATGGGGGAGAATACTGTCTGATGTAGGAGGACCAGTGCAGGCTGCCTCCATGTAGTACCTGCAGAACAAAAGAGAGAGGGAGAGAGGGATGAGGGAGAGACAGGCAGGTATTTGTCATTCCTCAATATTACTTGTACACAATGAAGGAAAATGTTGTTCTCTAGGCCCCGTGGTGCAACAGACAACAGCAGCACATTACAAAGGACTTCATAAAGTGCAGATTCTCAGTGGGAGCTGAGATTTGCTGGGTGGGGGTTTCCCATTCTGGATACGTTTAGGGGTCAATGGGTCTTGCAGGGTGGCCAAGATATGCCCTTAACCAGTCAACACCCCCAGGCAGCTATACAAGACCAGGCTCCTGTCTCTTTGAATGGGTAGGGATGTAAAAACGAAACTAAAAGCCACATTAACATTTCGAAACACAATTGAAATCACTAACAAAACCAGCATAAATAGTTTGTACCGTTAGACTCAAATAATAAAATCAGCTTGTCCCCTCTCTGGAGTAGCAAGAACTTTTCCTGCTTGTGGCTTAAACAGCAAGCTGCCTCAAATCAAGTCAAGGTTTATTTGTATAAAAATTCAAGTCCAAGCCCCCATGAGCAAGCCAATGGCGACACAGGCAAGGAAAAAGTCATTAAGAGCAAGAGGAAGAAACCTTGAGAGGAACCAAGACTCAAAAGGGGAACCCATCCTCCTCTGGTCGACACCGTATAGCAAATAATAACACAATAAAGACATTTCTTGTAAACAGATGCCATAATGAGGGTCACAAGCTTTCCCATTCCTATTTCAACCAGTAACCTGTCTCCTCCTTTATAGCATCTCTATTATAAGCCATAGCAGTAAACTACTTTAACATGCTTTATATTTCAAAAACAAGAACATTTCATGGACTGACCTTTAGGTTACAAACTACATTTATACATTAACGTCATCACTTTACTCAGCTTGCTTATTCGCATGATAAAGGCTAGATGGCTAGCAAAAAAAAAATACAATAAATAAATTCAGTACGCCACTCCACTGCAATATTGTTTGAACTTCTTAAAAATGTTTTGCTTGCATAGTTTGCATGGCTAACTGATTTGCTCACTGGGGCTACCCAGATATGTTATGAAGGAGGAGACCGGTTACTGGTTAAAATATGAATGGGAAAGCGTGTAGCGCTCGACATGGTGTCTGGTGCAGAAAGTCCCGCCCTTCAAAAAAAGAGCCAATCAGCTTGCTGGTTACACAGCGAGCAGAGAAGGGTCAATGATATTGTGGTGCTAGCAGGGAACCCCCCCTTGTTGTGGAGATCTGCACAAACGCAGTAGCCAAAACAACTAGAAAAATCTGATTTCACCGCCGTCAAACGGTAATTTGACTTCAGTTTAGAACATTTTGGTCTCTCCCCACTCAAAGAGATAGGAGTCTGGTCTTGTATGGCTGGAAATAACTGCCCAGTGGCATTGTAAATATGGCTGGCGAGTGAACAGACTTTCCAGTCAGGACTCTGGGCTTGCTAAGGGCGAGTGCGTCCCATTTGAATAATCTGCCGTCCCCTCCTCTTCTCCTGCTGCGAGTGGCCACCCGGGTAACGTAGGTGTGATCCGAGAGGTAAGTCAAAGTGGGTGAAGGTATGTTATGTGGGCCACAGAACATATAAGTGTATGCTCTGGGCGGGTAGGAAGGCCCCCCCCCGCGCTATGACCCGGTCCATGTCTGTTAGCAAACAGCGTCTGTTAGTAGTAAGATCTAAAATACAGCGTATTTACTGGTCAAGTGTGTTTTCTCAAGGAAAGAATTTCTATTGACTTAATAATGGAACTCTGTAGACTCTGTAAATATCTGTAATATGTCTGTCACATCTGTAATGCCATCACTTCACTCCAAGTTGTAAACTTTGCCACCACTTGCTGGCCACTGTGCATTTTACAGTTCCTCTTTCAAACGAGTCTGCCTCACTGACCTCAAGCTCATAATGTCAACAGATTTACCACTGCTTAGAGTGACAACAGAGCCCTTCAGAAAATCACCCTATCAAAAAGTGCTGATCTCGAAACCGCAATAGTGTCATGAAACCGTGGCTTCTTCTGACCACTGTTGGGTGAAACTCCGTCCCACACTGAAGCTCCACTTCCTCAATCCACTCTCATTCTAGCCGAGTCTGTTTCTCTCTCTTTCTCTCTGTCGCACACACACACTGAGCCATAGCAGTATCAGTACTCAGAGTGTGAACCACAGCCACAGGTCGAAATCTGCTAGCGTGACCAGCAATGGACACTGAACCCATTTGTAGATGAATGTTCAGTTAAGGTGCCTAGGCAGATGGGGGGCCCCTAAAAAGCCAGCTGGCCCTGCATGCAAAAGCCATAATTTGGTATGATTTTGGGGTTGTACATGCGTGTTGTGCGCTCATGGAGGCTAACTAACTTCGAGTAGGCCAGTTTGGGCAGCAGCAGGTACATCACGATGCAAAGAAGGATGAAGACATCAGCAGTGAGGAAGTAGGCAAGTGCACTAGTGGTCACATCACCGGCAGCAGCCAGATCCACCACGGCCGCCACTGCGCTCAGAGTACCACCCATAGCCTGACCTACACACATACACACAAAAAACAAAGAACAAAGAATAAAACCACTTTAAAAGACTGAGAAACAGACGATACTCACACGGCGTATTATACATGCAGTTTAATCACAATCATAATATGCATTCAAATGGACTTTTCCATTCCATTCCAGTTGTACATACAAAACACCACCTAACGTACAGACTATGGCCTAAGGAGGATGCGCATCATTAAAAAAATATTACACGCATATACAAGCATGTGCAGTGTACTCGTTCATGCAATGTACTAATTTACTTTTCTCTGTGTTCGCTGCCTGTTTTGTGTTCTCTTAGATAGTGTCCTGTCATATGCAGCTAACATTCTTCATAAACATTGCTTTACGCAATTTAATTGTAGAAATAAATATTTCCAATTGCTATTTTTGAATAAAATTTGTTAAATTTTAACCTCTAGTGCCATCATCTAAAAACACTCTATACTATACTAAAAACACTCTATACTACTCACATATGTACATATATTTGCTACATAAATATATATAAATAGTAAACAAATATGTGCAATATGTGATGTTTTAAAATATATGTGCTAAATAAAGTTAACATCATTTGTCATTTCAATGCATTTTTATTGCCAATACATTGAAACATACACAGATCGGGCATAACATTATGACCTCCTTGTTTCTACACTCATTGTCCATTTTATCAGCTCCACTTACTATATAGGTGCACTTTGTAGTTCTACAGTTACAGACTGTAGTCCATCTGTTTCTCTGCATACTTTGTTAGCCCCCTTTTACCCTGTTCTTCAGTGGTCAGGACCCCCATGAACCCTCACAGAGCAGGTACTATTTGGGTGGTGGATCATTCTCAGCACTGCAGTAACACTGATGTGGTGGTGGTGTGTTAGTGTGTGTTGTGCTGGTCTGAGTGGATCAGACACAGCAGTGCTGCTGGAGTTTTTAAACACCTCAGTGTCACTGCTGGACTGAGAATGGTCCACCAACCAAAAATATCCAGCCAACAGCGTCCTGTGGGCAGCATCCTGTGACCGCTGATGAAGGACTAGAGGATGACCAACACAAACTGTGCAGCAGCAGATGAGCTATCGTCTCTGACTTTACATCTACAGGGTGGACCGACAAGGTAGGAGTGTCTAATAGAGCGGACAGTGAGTGGACACAGTGTTTAAAAAGACACACTAACACACCACCACATCAGTGTTACTGCAGTGCTGAGAACGATCCACCACCCAAATAGTACCTGCTCTGTGAGGGTCCATGGGGGTCCTGACCACTGAAGAACAGGGTAAAAGGGGGCTAACAAAGTATGCAGAGAAACAGATGGACTACAGTCTGTAACTGTAGAACTACAAAGTGCACCTATATAGTAAGTGGAGCTGATAAAATGGACAATGAGCTTAGAAACAAGGTGTTATGCCTGATCGGTGTATGCAAATGTGTAGATGAAACATCTTACATGTAACAGTGTCAATTTCAAATATTTACATATATTTCAAACATATAAGGAAATATGAGTGGACCAACAGTGTAAGGATCAAGGAAAGCTAAATAAAGATGTTATCAAACCATGTGTACAGAGTGTTTGCTTTGGACTGATCCAATTCATCCAATCCGAGAGATGCACAGAAAGCACTTGAATTCAGCCTCACACGTAACACCAATATTGTATCCCCAAGCTGCAATTCAAAGAGGATCTTTAATGTCCACTGAAAACAGATTTCAGAGACAGTTCACACTGCGCTGTTACCTGATATGAGGGCTTGAGATATCCTCATGGGGAAGTGGCCACTAATGCCGAAAACGCTGCCGCTGAGGAGGTTGGAAGCTCCACTGACCAAAGCAACACTGGCCAGTGTGCCTGCAAAAAACTGCCCCCTGCAGCCTGACACATCCACCTTCACCAGCACTGTGGTGACCACAAACACCACCAGGATCACAACCAAAGAGGACAGGATCCGCACTTCAGAGGACAACCTGTCAACACACACACAGTCGGACACAGTGAATCTAGTGATGCATCTACATGAGTGGAGCACAGCGTATCGAAAGTTCAGAGCTTTTTCAGTGCAAGTTAGTAATAAACAATTCAATACTCTTTCAATACTTTTAATTCTTTATTCAAATGTGACAACACTACTTTAAAGCTGTATTCTGCTAGATGGTGAATCATTCTGTGCACGCTACATTGACTCAGATGGGCAGAATATTTAAGATTAGAAGACTGACAAAGAGATTTGAAAGTTAAAAGGTCTTAAGATTTAGGAATTTACTTTTCTATGTTCAATCTAATAAACATTTTTAAACTTTTTTTTTGCCATAGGGCTGCTTTGGTGTTGAGCATTGCAATACTAGACTTCAGTATCAAAGACAAAATTCTGCAATACTTAATACTAGGGCCTGACCTATATGAAAATTTTGTGGCTGATATTGATAACTGACCACTCTACAGCAGACAATAACACTGTCTAATATAATAAAAAACTGAATTTTCTCCATAGTATGTAAACCCTGTTAAAATGCCAATATGTACCTTTCACTGCTCTGTCCACACAGTCCAAATATGGATACTAAGCTGCAAAAACAGGCCACAATGAATTCGCCGTTTTTGTCACGTAACAAAAACAACAAATACCTGACTATTCTGCCTACAGCAGTTCAGACCTGTCCACTCATGTTGAAGTTATAAGGAGTGTTTCAACACAGACTGCTTTCTCAGGGAGGCACAATACAGGACGACCAATCAGAACATAGCCCATTCGCATATATCAGTCTTAAAGGCACAGTAACAAAAATAGCCTGTTTAATTCTAAAGGATAATGTAGGGAAAATGAAGTATGACTGTTTTTGGTAAATAAAACAACATATGTTATAAGCGAACCTCAGTGAAGAAGAATATAAGATATGGTCTCTATAATTTTACACACCAGTTTTAGTTAAATAGTGCTTTACTGACTGATTTTATTCCACGTACCCACAGCCAATTTACGCCGCAGGGGTCCATGCTGCCACGGACCTCCCTGCCCTCTCCCACCGCCTATTCCGCACTGCTCCGGTCCCTCATGCTGGACCTTGTGGGTGGTGCTCCCACATGGTACCCCCACGTTGCCTTTTCAGGCTGACCCCAGATGGCGCTTGCTGAGGAACACTACCCCAAGGCCTGGCTCCAGGGGTCAGTCCTGGTAACCCTCTCATGGGCAGGGTACACAATCTCTTGTGTCCCTTAGTCAGGGAGGATTTTTGGCTCAAGTTAATCTGGGTCTTCACTCCAGACCTGTTTACCCTGGGAGACCCTACGAGGAGCATACTGCTCCAGATGACTTAGCCAGGTAAGGGGAAAGGACCTGGCCCAGGTGGAGGAGTTTAAGTATCTCGGGGTCTTGTTTGCGAGTAATGGGAAGAGGGATGGTGAGATCGGCCGCAGGCTGGGACAGGTGGCAGCTCACCTGTGGTCATGAGCTTAGGGTAACGACCGAAAGAATGAGATCGCGAATACAAGCGGCTGAAATGAGCTTTCTTCGCAGGGTGGCGGGCTACACTCTACTTGATAGGGTGAGGAGCTTGGTCATCCAGGAGGAGCTCGGAGTAGAGCCACTACTCCTCCGCATTGAGAGGAGCCAGTTGAGGTTGTTCGGGCATCTGACCAGGATGTCCCCTGGACGCCTCCCAGTGGTGGTTAACCAGCCACGGCCTACTGGGATGAGACCCCGGGGTCGTTCTAGGACCCACTGAAGGGATTATATTTCCAAGTTGGCCTGGGAGCAGCTTGGGGTCCCCGGAATGAGCTGGAGGAGGTTACGGGGGAAAGGGTTGTCTGGGATTCTCTGCTTTCACTATTGCTACCAGGACTATATCTGGGCCAAGCAGTTAAAGATGATGATGATGATGATGATGATGACTGATTTCAGTGTCAGCTCTTTTTCAGTTTTCACTTTTTTGAACTCAAATCAACAACAGAAACTCATAGTCTTAAGTAATATAAATCCATATTTTGTGTTTATATTCACCAGTTTAGTCTGTATTTCTGTGACACAGTCAAATAGGGGTGCCTCAAAGTGGGATTCCGAAAGGCAGAACCATTTAAGGTTTTCCTTTATAGTCGAGAGATAGTTCAAATCCCTCTGATGCCTGGCCAAAAAGTTGATGATTATTGACACTATTTGTTCCAGACAATCAAAAAAAACACGGGCTGTCAATATTGGCTAATATTATCAGCCAACCAATATACTGGTCAGGCTCTCACTTAACATAAAAACATCTACAACAGTCCATATCGAATTAACATGACAGGAGGCCGTGACAGTCAGATCACTGGTACATTTAGACTTACAGGGCCAATATCCTACATTTTTCTAGCGTTTAACTTTTTCCTCCTAAGGTTTATTTAAAATACATTGTGTGGGTTTATGTAACAATAATAGGTCATTTTGACACGATTGTTTCCAACCTGTCTTTATCCCTTAGAACTAAAGAGGCTGTTTTTGTTGTTGTGCCTTTGACTGTTATTTAAATGAGCTCTGTTCTGATGGTTTCTCGTAACGTCACAGAAATAATGCATTCAAAACAAGATGTTTTTGCAGCTTAGTTTCCATGTACGGACTGTATGGACTGGAGAGTGAATGATAGATTTTGAAACTTTAGCAACGTTTAGAAATGTGTAATAAAACTCTGGGTCCGCCGTTGGGCCCTGGCCATGGGGTTAATATCAGAACTGAATGTTCTTAGATCACCATTTTGTAACTTGTTTACAGAAAAACAAACCAGAAGATGCAAAAACAGTAGAGAATGTGCTTTTTCTGTCCACATGGTTTTCTGAATGCTCTCAGTCCAAATCCAATTAACCTCTGCAGTGAACAACACAGAGCCAGAGCAGGATGTTTTCAGACCTACTGCCACGGCATCTGCTTAAAAGACAAAGCGGACATTTTGCTGCGTGACACGATCATAAGGGTTTAAAGGCACATTAGGTCCTTATCCACAACAAGCCTGTGGAGGGAAAAATTAGGGTTCTTAGAAGAAGAGTCAGGAGCTGGACATAGCAGTTCTTTATGCCCTGGATCAAGAGTGGCCGGTGATTGGCTGTGGCAGAATGACGTCACAGCAAACACGAGGAGGCTCCTGGGTTCGTTAAGTGGCTGATTAAGTTTACACTGAAGCTCTTTGTGCTCAAAGTCAACCTTCTGGCAGAAAACAGCATCTAAAGGTTTCGAGATGTGTCTTTTTTGAACTTTCTCACCTTTGATGCAAAACGGCAAAGCATTCCTAATCTAACACTTCAGGCCTTTACACACCAAGCGCAGTTTATTTGTGTGATTTATTTCAGACGACAGTAAATTACATTGAGCATTAGTATAACTGACGGTATCTTGCACATCAAACGTAATTTTTCAGATGGCAAAAATGCACCATTGTTTATTTGCTCTCTGTTTGACTTTTGCAAACTTTCTTCAGCAACATGAACTCTCTGGCCAATCAGGGTCGTCTCTGGCATTGGCATGACCACAACCAAGACGACTGAGAAGCTGTGTTTCAGCAAATAGAACTTTTTCCCCAAACGTCAAAAGGATCAGAATCTCTAAAATCATCTCAAACTGGGCTACAAACATTCACGTTACAGCCTGTGTGGAAGCACCCAAGGTTTCTGGTTCTGAATGAAACAATGAGGCTCTTCATGCTACTTTCACTTTTCCAAAACGGATAGTAGCCGAGGGTCACTATTTGCTTGTTCTGTGAGGAGTAAAGATCTTATTTGCACTTGAAGACATTCTACCTGCTTATTTTGTGCTTCATGTGCATCATGCGGAGCTGAATCTCTGTAATCAGTTCAAAATGAGTTACGGAGATTTGAGCTGTGAGTGAAAAAATTTGTAAATGAGGTGGAGAAATCTTAGCTTTTCCAAAGCGTCACTTATTTTCACTTGGAAAATAACAAATATAATACATAGCCTGTATTACTATTGTTGCATAGCCTGTATTACTATTGTTCCATAGCCTGTATTACTATTGTTCCATAGCCTGTATTACTATTGTTGCATAGCCTGTATTACTATTGTTCCATAGCCTGTATTACTCTGGTTGCATTGCTTGTTTTACTACTGTTGCATAGCCTGTATTACTATGGTTGCATAGCCTGTATTACTATGGTTGCATAGCCTGTATTACTATGGTTGCATAGCCTGTATTACTATGGTTGCATAGCCTGTATTACTCTGGTTGCATAGCCTGTATTACTATTGTTCCATAGCCTGTATTACTCTTGTTGCATAGCCTGTATTACTCTGGGTGCATTGCTTGTTTTACTACTGTCGCATAGCCTGTATTACTATTGTTGCATAGCCTGTATTACTATTGTTGCATAGCCTGTATTACTATGGTTGCATAGCCTGTATTACTATTGTTGCATAGCCTGTATTAATATTGTTCCATAGCCTGTATTACTATTGTTCCATAGCCTGTATTACTATTGTTGCATAGCCTGTATTACTATTGTTGCATAGCCTGTATTACTATTGTTCCATAGCCTGTATTACTATTGTTGCATAGCCTGTATTACTATTGTTCCATAGCCTGTATTACTATTGTTGCATAGCCTGTATTACTCTGGTTGCATTGCTTGTTTTACTACTGTTGCATAGCCTGTATTACTCTGGTTGCATAGCCTGTATTACTATTGTTGCATAGCCTGTATTAATATTGTTCCATAGCCTGTATTACTATTGTTGCATAGCCTGTATTACTATTGTTGCATAGCCTGTATTACTATTGTTGCATAGCCTGTATTACTATTGTTGCATAGCCTGTATTACTCTGGTTGCATTGCTTGTTTTACTACTGTTGCATAGCCTGTATTACTACTGTTGCATAGCCTGTATTACTATTGTTGCATAGCCTGTATTACTATTGTTGCATAGCTTGTATTACTATTGTTGTATAGCCTGTATTACTATTGTTGCATAGCCTGTATTACCAATGTTGCATTGTTGCGTTTACCACTGTTTTTTGAACATTTTAGATTTCTTTCTTATTTTTTCACTGATTTAATGACAAAGTGCCATCACTGCCGACCACTGACTCCCCCTCAGTATTGATCAACAGATGGCTGAGATCTTGAGAGGCTGTTTGAGAAGGATAAATTGCTAAATCAGTCAAACAGTTGGTAATCAGATCACCTCTTATTCCAGCTGCATGCAATGCACAAATGTTACTCCTTATAATAAATGCTAAATGCAACATTACAAAGAAATCCAGGAAAGTATGGGTTGTTTACCTGTTCACCAGGAGGTAGTTGAGGATGAGGCACAGCACTGAAGGAACAGTGGAGGCAATGGCAAGGTAGCTCTCAAAGTAGTCCTGCAAGCAGACAGAGGAGAAAGTAACTCATTCACCATAATTCAATGACATCTACACTCGCTGGCCACTTTATTGGAGAGTCCAACTTGAAGCCTGGTGTACAGTTAGAGGCTGTAGCTCATCTGCTGATGTACAGTTTGTGTTGGTCAACCTCTAGCCCTTCATCATTGGTCAGTTTCTGACCACAGAGCCTCTCTTAGCTGGATATTTTTGGGCACTCATACCAGAGCCACACAGACTACCATGTCAGAGTCACTGCTGTGAGAATGGCCCAAATAATATCCAGTCCTGTGGTCAGAAAACGACCAGTGATGAATGAGGTAGTGTAGGGGGTGGCTTAGAAACCACACACGACAACAGACAGTCTGTAATCGAAGAGATTCTTTCCAAAATGCTGTACATTCATTTGTAAGAGAGAGGTTTTATGATACAGCGCACAACACCTAATTGTTTCACTAATCAAGGTGGTATTATGAATATAGCATTGATGTATAATACAGCATTGATAAGCTCACCAGACAGAAAACAGTCATGTGCATCATTTCTTCTCTAATGCTTGGTCCTCTTGCCTTAATAACAGCGCCAATTGTGCCAGGTAAGGATTACACCAGCAGGACACCTTCAAGTCCACTCTTCCACAAACCAAGGACATATTTTAGGACTAAAAAGTGGGATCTGGTCATTTTGCTGGTCAGTAGCCCTGTCAGTTATTTCATCTTGTCCATTTGCAATTATTTGAGAAGATCTCAAAAAGCAATCTTTTTTGACAGTTGTTAGATTTCACAGCCACATTAAGCTGCAACAAACAAAATGTGAATTGGGAGCGTTTGGCCGAGGGAAATAAATGTAAATAAACGTAAACAGTAAATGCATTCATTGAGACAAGAGAGTCTAGAGGGCAGCACTGAGTAAGGTCTGTTTATTTGTTAGCTATGAAGCTAATTGTAACATTTAAGCATGTATGCTGGCAGTGAGTGGTTTTTTGCTTATATTTTCAGTCTTCATTTCAGGCATTTGTGAGAGTGTATGGATTTGACAGTACAACCAGTGTTAGCTAATAAGTAAACATAACTAGCAAGTAAAATGGCTTATCTGCCAATTTGGCCAGTATAGGCTTCTATTTTAACAGCTGCAAACGATGAACAAGAACAGACAATTAAACTGCTCATTGCAATTATTTGTATGACAATTAATCATCAGCTTAAATTTCATGACCATGACAGCCCTACTGGTCAGTCAAGCTGTCCCAGTGTTCCATCATGTCTGCTGAACTGGAAAGTGAGAGTGTTAATGTTCTGCTCAAACATAAGGCGCTTAGTTATTGGAAGAGTGGACTAAAATTGACGGAAACTCAAGATGAATCTCAAGAGAGTGGTGTAATCCTCACTTGACAGGACTGCAGCTGTTATTCAGGTGCAACCAGGCAGTAGAGAAGAAATGATGCCGAGACCAATTATTTGGCCGGGGAGCTTTTAAAAACAAATAATACACAGAAAAAAAATAATAAAAATCATGAAAGTGGTGTTTAATGCATTTTGGAAACCCTTCAATTGTACAATTACACAATCATTCAAAAGGTTTGGAATTTTATTATTTTATATAAAATAACTTAATTATTAAGAATTAAGATATTACAAACTAAAACTACATACACTATTTTAAATATATATACTAAAATAGTTTATGTAATTTTAGTTTGTAATATCTTAATCCACATTAAATAAGTTATTTTATATAAAATAATAAAAATTCCAAACCTTTAAATGATCATGCAATTGTACAATTGAACCTCGTATCTCCAAAATGTTACATTTACAGGAGAAGGAAAAAAAACATCATTAATTTTGAATGGAAGTTAATGGAACCAGATTTTTTTCCAAGCATTCTTGAAGCATTTCTGTTGGTCTATTCATGATGAAAGTACAAAGTACAAAACGACAAAAATAGAGATACAAGGTTCTCCTGACGGAGAATGTCCGTCCATCAGTTTGTGACCTAAAGCTGAAGCGCAGTCGGGTTATGAAGTAGGACAATGATCCAAAGCACACAAGCAAGGCCACCTCTGAATGGCTCAAAAGAAACAAAGTCAAGGTTCTGGAGTGACCGAGTCAAAGTCCTGACTTGAGTTCTACTGAGATGCTCTGACAAGACCTTAAACGGGCAGTTCAACCCTCTGATGTAGCCAAATTAAAACAATTCTGCAAAGAAGAGTGGACCAAGATAACTCCACAGTGGTGTAAAACACTCACTGCAAGTTATCGCAACGTTTGATCGCAAATGTTATTAAGTTTAGGGGGGCAATTACTTTTTCCACATGGGCGACAATCAGGTTTTGAATAAATCTTTATCTTCAGTAAAAGGAATGAACATTTAAAAGCTGCATTTTGTGCTTATTTGTGTAGTCTTTAAATCATCGCTGTTGTTGGAAGAAAACCTCGTATCTCCAAAATGGTAACTTTACAGGAGAAGCAAAAAACCTTCTTTACTTTTAATGTAAGTCAATGGAACCAGACTTGTTTCCAAGTCATTTTGGGCCATTTCTTTTGGACCATTCATCATGAAATTTACATACAATGTAAAGAGCAACAGGTTCTTTCAAATTATGTGAAAAACTGAAAAACATCAAAAACGGAGATACGAGGTTTTCTGCGTTATAATAAATTATTTGGATGATCTGAAATATTTAAATGTGACAAATTAGCCAAAAAATAGAATTGTAGGTTCACTGGCCATTTTGGATGGTACATAAAATGGCTATATTTGTGTTGTAGTCATGGTGACCCCTGGTTCCTATCACCACCACTGTAAAAAAATCTTAGTCTCTACAATTAACCATTTAATATCAAACCAGTCTGAATGACTCTGTTTACATCTCACAGGAACTGATCTATGCAGATATTCAGGTGGAGTTTTCCCATTGAACACTTAACTTGCAATTGAACTGACCCACAACAGCTGAGCTGAGAAAATGGCACTAATCTGGCAGCAGAATATGATGATGAAACTGTAGCTATCTCTGACACGTCTTCTGAGCACATGGTAGTCAATAAACCCGCCACGGCTCATGTGCACATGACGACTGCCATGTGAATGTGTGTCACGCATTAGCCAACACACACCAGCACACAGAACACACTCTTCCTCTCTCTGCTGCTCATACAAAGCACCACATTTCATGCTGATGAAAGTGGAAGTGAAAGTGAGAGGCGGAAAAAGGGGAAACATAACTCATGGTAATAACATAGCAACCCCCCCTCCCACAAAAAAAAAGAAACACTGAGAAGAACACGAGACGAGGATGAGGAAATACTGCGACTAGCAGAGGGAGAAGAGGCACATTTGGCTCAGAATGAGGACAACATCAATCGAAAAAGTAATGTGAGAGCAGACTAAGCTATAAAACTCGGCTCTGCTTTGCTCATCATCCCTAATGGTATATTTCCATGAAATCTACACAACATTCCCATTAAACATTTATGTTAAAGGGCCCATATCACGTAAAACCCTATTTTCCTTATTTTTTAATGAAAAACACTTTAATGTAATATGAAAACATAAACACATTGTCAAAATTTAAACAATATACCAGTCAATTCCCAGTCTATTTATATATTACTTACATCATGTGAAAACAGCCTTTTCGAATGAATTGTTTCTGTGATGTTACAAAACCAACACATTTGCATATCTACATCTATTTGGCCTAAAGAGGTTCAGCTCTGCCCATTTATGTGGAAATTATAAGAAGAGTTTCCAAGTGGACTGCTTTAGGCACAATACAGGACATCCAATCAGACAGACAATTTACATATATTAGTCTTAAAGGCACAGAACCAAAAAATTGATAAAAAGGTGCAAAAAAGGTAATGCACAAAAATAATTATGACTGCTTTTGGTACATAAACTTACATATGTTGTAAGCCGAGCTCAAATGAAAGAATAAAATGTAGGATATGGACCCTTTAAAAAGAAAACTAATTGGGCTTTATTTAAAGAACAGTTTGGAGAAAAAAATACATTTACACTTTACACAGCTTAAGGCTCATTTATACTCCTGCTGGACCCAGAGGACCTGGCACAATATCTTGCGAATAATTTTCAGGGTTGTGCCAGTGAGCAGGACAAAGCATGCATGAAGAGAAATCCAGCAAATTAATAAAAAGCCTAAATAAAGTAGAATCACACTAGGATTACTAAATCATATTATATTATATATATATTTGAAGTAATAATGGCAAAACAGTTAATATGAATGAAGTCATTCTAAAGAGCTGTGAAGAAGCCATTCATGTGAACAACATGCAAATTCTTGTAGCTTACAGAGACGGCAGAGCCTTCAGTTGAACAGCTACAGCTGCCCAGCAAAACACCTAAAATAATTATTCTGTGGTTTAATTCCTGCTCTGTGTTTACTGGGAATAAACAGCGTTTGGTGAAGTTACTTCACAGCGTGGCTGATGACCATGACTGCTGTGTTATTTCAGCACAGGATAACATATTTGTGAATAGACCGTGTCAAATATTGTATGTGAGTTCACCTTGACGGAACTGTGCGGGCGGGAGCAGGACAAAACAGTTTGGTTGCGGGCGGGAGTGGGACAAATGATTCCGATTTTCTCCGGGAGTGGCATGAAATCTTGCGAGAGCAGGATTAAAAACAGTCCTGTACAGATTTCTATTACACAGTGTCAGAAACCAAATAAGCAGAATAAAACTACTAATAATTTGATAAAACATATCAAATTTACACAACTTTCCACTTAACCTAGATGTAGTCGATCAACCAATATTTGGAGTCCAAATTTAAAACTGGAACTATGAGGCTAAGGTTGCTGACCAACAACAGAGCTCAATAGTCACCCAAACATCCCAAACAGTTTCTGTAAAGATACATCACGAAAACTTCTCTCAGTGCTCTTAAACTGCATCCAGGTCTTCATTAAGGTATTGCACACTTGTCAGCATGCTTTAGGTCACAATGCCTTATTGTGAACTATAAAAGTGACTGAGACGTCGCTGTGTAGCTGAGCGCTGCAGGCGCTGAATACGGAGGAATCTGATCGAATACCAGTCTTTCTTTGTGAATAGCAGCGTCGTAAAGGCTGAGCTCTAAACCACATCTGCAGGTCTGTATTACCTCAATGAAGACCTGGATGCAGTTTGAGCGGCTTGAGAGAAGTTTTGGTAATTTTTACATGAACGATTTGAGTGACTACTGAGTTCCTGTGTTCGTTATCAATGTTAGCCTTGCAGCTACAGCGCTAAACTAAAAAAAAACAAAAAAAAAACAAAATTTGGACTCTAATCATGATTGATTATATCTCAGTAAAGGAAGAATTGTGCAAATTATTTTTTTGCTGAAATTTCTTTAACAACACAGGCAAATGTGTTAAACCACTGTCATTTTACATGTTATGTAGTTAAACCAGTTACTGGTTCACCAGTTCTCTATTTCTCAATATTCTTTTTCATAACCTCACATCCGTCGCCTTCACAGACTCTACTAGTCACTCTAGAGTGACTGTGCTGCTGCGGCCTTACAAGTTATGAAAGGACACTCAGTTCTCTGTAGTATTATAAGACCACGTGAGAGTCAGGTCTGACACTAATTCTCTCTCTCTCTCTCTCTCTCTCTCTCTCTCTCATTTATTTGGGATTCCTCTTTCATAAATAACCTGCATGAAGGCAATGTTTCTGTCTAAGACAAACCTGCCCTCAACAAACAGCACACGTCTTTCTCACTCACCCTCACTCACAAACACATAGACAGAAAGATAGACAGTTATAGGGCTAAACAATGTTGCATATTAATCATAATTAGCTTCTGCAACAGCACTATCTAACTTCATTAACAGTACACTAAGTGTATCAAACCTAATAACAGCACTACTCAACCAATGCTTCATAGCAGAGATGTGAATGTGCTGTGAATTTTCTTGCCTGTTCCAGATGTTTCTGATGAACACCTGGCCAGCACTCCGACTTTGTCAAACATTTACAAGGTTTGACAAATACATAATTGTATTTTTCCAAATCTTGAAGTCTATCTATAAACATGTCACATCATGTTGTTAATCTGTAATCTGCAATAAGATCACATGATATCGTACAGCTTACATTAAGGGCAGGTGTTTCGCTATAATGGACAAAACAGAAGTGAAAACCACACACACACACTTGTTTCTATGCCTCGTCAGGACGTGGGGTCAAAAATCCTAAACATAATCATAATAAGTCTAAAGGAATAGCTTGGTAGAAAAAATCAAATTTACACAATTATCCATTTACTCCAGATGTAGTAGATGAGCCAAGACATGTTTGGTGTCCATATTTTGCTTCTATAGTTTAGCGCTAAAGGCAACATACACTAGAAGTCAATAGTCACCCAAATCTTTTCTCGTAAATACATCCCCTAACACTTGTAGACGGGCTTTAGGACACAGTATGACTTTCAAATTCAAGATTAACAGTTAATCATAAAACAGAAATGATAAAGAAATCATAAACATAGCCTGCACGATGCATGTTCACATGAACTGGAGTAAAATATGACAACATCTGCTGTATGCACACATCAACAAGTCTGTGCGACCTTAATGAAGACCTGGATGCAGTTTGAGTGGGCTGAGAGAGGTTTTGTGCACACATTCATGGAAAAGATTAGGGTGACTAATGACTTCTAGTGTTTGTTAGCAATGCTAGTCTTGTAGCTCCAGTTTTAAACTAAATAAGCAAAATCTGGACACAAGACATGTCTCAGCTGACTGCATCTGGGATAAGCAGAAAACTGTGTAGGTTTGATTTTTCTTTAACCTCAGCAACCAAAAATAAATGGTTTTACCCTTCCAGACAATGAAAGATGTAGCTGTTGTGAAAAAAAAAATGAAGTCAGCATCATTTTGTTAGTCCTGACATTGCAGGTCCTGTGTTCCTCCCTGTTTTCCTATAAAGCCAGAATATGTGGTCCTGGAAATGCATAAAAACACATTTCAAAACCTTTTACATAAAGATGTTCCCAAAACATCTCTCGGTTCACTCAAACCACATCCAGCTCTTCATTAAAGCTGTTCATACCTGTAGATGTGATTTAGACACAGTATGACTCAAAAATGAAGAAGAAAATTCAAGATTAACAAATTTATGTTATTTATGATTTATATTATTTACTAAACGAAATGAGAGAAATGGTGAACATGGCCTGCAGGGCATGCACTCATGCCAATTCAGCACAACATCTGCTGTCTAAAATGCAATGCGCTCAGTGCAACCTGCACACAGCAACAACTCTGTGTGACCTTAGTGAAGACCTGCAGTTTGAATGGGCTGAGAGAAGTTTTGGGATGTATTTATGGAAAAGATCTGCGTGACTACTGACCTCAACACACTTAAAAGATCTTCAGGGGTTCTTTAGTGAAGGAAATGGTTCTACACAGAACCATGAATACTCAAAGAACCCTTTGCATGATTAAAGCGTTCTTTGCGTCATGCAAGTGTTCTTCAGATTGATGGAGAATGTGTTTTATATGGCTCTATATAGAACCTATACGTGGTTGGTATAGTGTAGTGGGTAACACCTCTGCCTGCTGTAGACTAGGGTTCAATTCCCCACCTAGGTAAGCACCCTACACTATACCAATAAGAGTCCTTGGGCAAGACTCCTAACACCACCTTCACCTACCTGTGTAAAATGATCAAATTGTAAGTCGGTCTGGATAAGAGCGTCTGACAAATGCCATAAATATAACCTTTTTGAAAAAGGTTCTTCTGTTGTTATGATGACAAGCCTGTAACAACAGAAGAACCCTTTTTGGTGCTATACAGAACCATCTACAACACATTCTGCATCAATCTGAACCATTTAAGGAAGCAAAGAAGCCGTTTTCATGCAAAGGATTTTTTGAGTGTTCATGGTTCTATATAGAGCCATTGTCTTTACTAAAGAGCCTTTGAAGAACCATCATTTTTAAGAGTGTAGTGTTTGTCAGGCAATGTTGGACTCAAAGCTCCAGTTCTAAACAAATTAAGCAAAGTTTTAACACCAACTGTGTCTCAGCTGACTGACAACGTCTGGGGCAAGAGGTTTTGCTTTTTTGCTGAACCTTTCCTTTAACCTCAGTAACTAAAAAGACAGATCGAAACAATGAAAAATGCATCTCTTGTAAAAAAAAAAAACAAAAAGCAAAAAACAATATATAAAATCAGAGCTATTTTGTTCCTCCTGATATAGTGAGTCCTGTTTTCTCCCTTGCATCCCAGTAAAAAAACGCAAAACACTTTTGTCCTGACGACAAACACATACACAAACAAACAAACACACTCACGCTGTGGTCAGTTTGGGGCTCCTCGTGTCCTTCTGAGCTGGAGCTGTTGCTCAGTTTGTAGAGCCAGTACTGCTTGGCCGTGATGAAGAAGTTCCAGGGCAGCAGAGAGCCGATGCCCATAAGGAAGAAGATGCCATACACCAGGCAATAGGTGTCGTGCGGCCGGTGGCGGGCGCTCAATGGGCCGGCGGGCTGCTGCGAATGTGTGAGGAGGGGCGAGCGGTCTTCACCCTCAGCCTTCACCTCCTGCTCCTCGTCAGACATGGAGGACGAGTGGAGCGCAGAAATGTAGGAGGAGTTCAGACTAGCCTGCAGGTGCTCTGTACCATCCATCCTCACAGAAAGATACAGAAAGAGAAAGAAGGGATGAAGCAAGAAAAGAACGAGGGGATAGAGGGGTGTTGGAGGGGAGCAGATGGACGAAGCTGGAGGACGTGGTAGGGCTAGACTGCAAATAAAGAAACAGAAAGAAAGACACAGACTGCATTAGTGAACACTGCACTGTAAATGCTTAAAGCGCCCATATCATGAAAAATGAAATGTCCTGAACATGGAAAACGTTGAAACAGTTTGATGTAAACATTGTTAGAGTTTCAAAACACACCGTTCACTCCCCAGTTTATATATGCAAACTAAGGCCCAATCCCATTTCACCCCTTGCCCCTACCACTTAGCCCTTAGCCCTCTGTTTTGCGCGTTCATGTCTAGGGTTATGGTGTCCCAATTTTTGTTGAGAGGGCTACACAGCCCTCCAATCGGAGGTTCTTCAGAGACTCCAAACGGAGTGATATGAGAAAAAAAGAAAAACCAGCAAGATGGCTGAAGAAGAGACCAAAGAAACCCACAAATGTGAGGATTTTCTCTGTTAAAATTACAATAACCACTGTATTATCTTAGTTTAATGTCGTTTCAATGTATTATGATCCTTTTCTTCATAACAAGCATAAAAAAATCACTAATAGCATGCTAATGTCTCAGCAGCTAGCTAGTTAACTTCCCCTTTCCACTTTAAATAGTCCAGCAGTTCTGACGCCTGAAGCGCCAGAATGTAACTGCTGCACCATTCAAGAAGCTGGTGCGTATCTGACTTCAGCTTCGTATCAGCCGAAGAATTAGCGGTGGGCGATAATAAATAATTATCCCCCCTCTTTGAAGGCATACGATGCCCTAAATATAACTAAAGCCCAGCAGTGAAGTTGCTGAACTTTTCCCTCCTCTGCTGTCACTGAAGACGGGCTGGGTCACCTGCAGAGCACCGCTAGTAGCCTGATAATGAAGCAATGTTTTTTTTTATTTGAGGGTCCCATTTCGTAGGGCAAGATTTCAACCACTACCCCTTGTAACTCAGTTCCAAGCGGTTAGGGTGACACTCGAAAACAAAAGAAGAAATGGGATTGGGCCTAAGTTTGAATTCACTGTTTCTGTGATGTCACAGAAAACAATCCATTAACATCCACCTATTCAGCCTACAGCAGTTTAGCCCCACCTATTCACAATGAAGTCATTGAGGAAGTTTCAGCCCAAACTGCTTTTAGAAAGAAGCACAATACAAGGCAGACCTTTATAAGCCCTTTATCAATCAATCAATCAATCAATCAATCAACCTTTATTTAACCTCAGAGAACATTGAGAGTGACCCTCATTTACAATGTTGCTGAGTTGATACAGGAAAAAGGGATTGATAATGTCTAAGAACATATCAAATAATAAGAGTACATTTAATAATAAAAATGACGCACATCAGATAAGCATAAAAAAATAAAACATTAATAATAAAAATACATACAAAAAAAGTAGAAAATATAAAATAATTCTAATATGGAATAAAAAGACTTGGTTAAATAGATAGTTCGATAAAAGATCAAATCTGCATATTTCCCCTTCATCTCAACTAATTCAGCTTCGACACTGTAGCTATGAGGCTAATGTCACTAACAAGTAATGGAAGCTTGTGACCACCGCTAAGCACTGTGTAAACTGCATGTCTAAATCATTACACACTTTCCTCAAACCACACCAAATTGTTAAGTAATCACGAATAGACTCGCTCATGTGGTTTCACGCTGTATGACACACTGTTATGTCTGCTACTGCTGATACAGGCCCTGGACTGTAATTGCGCACACCACAGCTTGTATGATCTCCATAGTAAAGTACTGTCAGTAGAACGAGCAGCCGCTCATTAGCCTAAGGAAGGGGTCAGCAACCCAAACGTTAAGAAGAGCCATTTTGTCCTTTCAACAAAAATCAAACCACCTTGGGAGCCACAACATTTTATGTCTATTTTATTGTGTAACGTTTTACCATCTTGACTGTAAGTATGTCTCAGTATGTGCTTGTGCCCTAGTAAAGGCTAAAAACCAATCTAAACGAAAACACAGACTTACTTTGCTCCGCTTTAAGCTTTAGCTCAGCTACAGCCGCCTGTAACCTCCTAAAATGTTATATACATATATATATATATATATATATATATATATATATATATATATATATATATATATATATACACACACACACACATTATATATATATATATATCACTGCTGTTGGAACAAAACCTTGACATAATTTGCCTGTTGCCCTTTACATTGTGTGTAAATTTCATGTTGAATGGACCAAAAGAAATGACCCAAAATGACTTAGAAAAAAGTCTAGTTCCACTGACTTACATTAAAAGTAAAGCAAGTTTTTTCCTTCTCCTGTAAAGTTACCATTTTTGAGATACGACGTTTCCGGCAACATTTTCCACTTCAATTTATCTGTTCATCAACAAGACCTGAGGTGAAGTGGGTGTGTTAGAGCAGCGTAAATACTAAACTATACAAGGCAAAGAAGTCCAGGCCCAGAACTGAGAACAAACACGCAGAAGAACCACAGTCACTCCATTACCTGCAGATAATCTCTCCTCTTCTGCTCTTAGGATGCGCCTTTCAACATCCACCGCAGATCACGCTCTCCTTCTGAGTGGCTGCATTAAGGATGGGGACAGCATGGTGCGCCGTCTCTAAGAGCCAAGCTGCAGGAGTCCCTGAGCATCACACTGAAGGGCCTGAGACAGAGAGAGAGAGAGAAGAGAAGCATCTCCATAACAAGCATTATTCACCACACCCTATAGAGCCCATACGTTACAGCCTCTCTTTAGCCCATAGCATGCTTTCCTCGTGACAGTCATATAGGAATGTCTCAACTGCTGCTTCAAATATACTTCACTCAGCAACTCTGAGAGATGCTCACATAAACCCTGTGACCCGATCTGACTTCTCTAAGAGCATCACGTGACTGGCCTAGAAACAGGGCAGATACACACTTACACCTAACTGAGACAGAAGCAATAAAGACAGTGAGAAACCAACAGAGATGTGTTATAGATGCCCAACTGCAATCACAGACCAGTCAGACTGTAGGATACAGGCATATGCAAAAGTTTGAGCACCCCTGGTCAAATTAGGTTTTATTAAAAATGCGTTAGCACATCCTCTACAGCCCATATGTCAAATGCAATGCCAGCAGGCCAGATCAGGCACCCGACACTTCCAGGCCAAAGTGCTGCGGAGATTAATGTTGACCCTCATCTAACACTCTGAATTCAGTTCATGAAGCCCTTTCTAATTAGCTGAATCAGGTGTGTTTAATGAGGCAGTGCGCTGAAGTCTGCAGTGTTTCGGCCTGCGAGGACCGGAGCCTGACACGCATGATCTAGAGCTTTATTCCATTCCACAGGGTCCCTAAACAGTACTGTTATGTTCCCTACACACTTGAGCACTGGATGTCAGGGAACTGCAGTTGATAAAACACCTTCACTCGGAACGTCCTACAGCCTCATAATCAAACATGCATCTTCAAGAGACCTGCAATGAATGATGGGTAAAGTTTCCTGCAGCTTCCGGTGAAGTGATAAATCGCTGTTCACTCCCTGTGGTTTGGGATCACCCTTAAAATGTCTGAATACCCTGTGCAGGACACTTTGCATGGAACTATGAGGGTGAGTTGAATGCGCCTTATGAGACTGTAGTCACTCCTCAATTCTACCCAACCAGTCATATCACCAAACATTTCAGCTGCAGTTCAACCAATATACAAACTTAGCGGCTCAGAAACTGATACCGAGATTTAATGAGCTTGCCGCAAAGTAAAGACGCCAGGTATGTAGTTCAAGCTAATAGGTAGGTTTAAAAGACCTAGCCCCTCGAGACATTTAAATATTGAATATTTCAAGTATTCATGTAATATTTCAAGGTCTACTACAAGTGGCTATATTTTGGTGTTTATGTTTTGGCATATTTTGAATAAACAACAGTTCAGGGTATATCAAAATGTTATTTAAAAATAAAATAAAAACAAAGATGTTCTCTGGCCCACAGATTTGTTTAAAATGGTCCATTTAGTGGTTGGGTTTGACACGCCTAACACAGTGAAATATTCCAATTAAGACATATATTTCCATCTATAATACATGCAAATTAATGATGGACCATACAAGAAAACATTTATATTATCTATCTATCTATCAATCTATCTATCTATCTATCTATCTATCTATCTATCTATCTATCTATCTATCTATCTATCTATCCATCCATCCATCCATCCATCCATCCATCCACTAGAAGAGGTTGGCCAAAGGGGAATTTCACCAATTTTCAAATTTTTTTTTGCATAATTCCATCATTGAGACATAAATAAAGTCATTCAGAGTGGTTTGGTGTAAAATTGTTCATTGTAGAGCCCCATAAAACATAAAAAAGTGCCTTAACGTTTGCACAGACCACATTTTATACCTTACTGTTTTCTCCCAGCATGTTACATTCAGCAAATAAACAGAAGTATGTTCTCTGTAGAGGATGTGTAATTATTTTTACTTAATCACATGCATAGCACTGTATAAAATTAGCCAGACACACAGTGAGACACTGACTTCTAACTTTAACCAGTGCAAAATATAAACGAGCAGAAACATCAGTATGCGTTTAAACTGACCATGAGTGGACAATGTGACATTTGCTCAATATCGGAAACAGTTTAGCATCTTTTAAATGAGGACTTGGGATTATTTACGTATAAGAATATTATAAAGAGGCAGTATTTGTATGCGAAGAACAAAACAGAGCAAATCGCCGTCACCATTACACCCACACTGACCCTGCCATCGCCCGCTGCCACCTGAACGTGCACTGAGGTGGAAGACTGAGGTCTATCCTGAAGAGCTACACCAAATAAGGCAAGAAGAGGTTGCCAAATCTTACCAAATCAGGCAAGAACCTCCTTTTACTTTCAAAAAGGAGGTATATCTATTCAGAAGCCTGGTAAATTGGATAAAGAGCAGCTCTCGACTACTGGAGACTGAAATGAGCCTCACTGATGCAGCTGATGCCACTACAGACTAAACCCCTGTGTGGCCTAAAGAACTAAGCGCAGGATTTTTGCAAGCATGATCAGATTTCAGAAAGTCACGACTAGACAATAAAATCCCACATGATTTAAAGGGAAGTGTAACAAAACCTCCAGTGGAAAAAAAGAAACTGAGCCAGCACAGACAGCCCAGTCACTGGGTTTTTGTTTAAGGTTTTGCAAATGAAATACAAACCAAAACAGCCAAAACACACAAACAAAAACAGCATATGTAGGTTACCACTGCAACTAACAGTGAAATATTCCAATTAAGACGTATATTTCCATATATAATACATGCAAACGAACAATAGACCGTGCAAGAAAACATTTACATTATCTATCACTATCTAAAACAGAAGCTGAGACTGGCTGCTGTGGTGTAACTGGGACTCCATTAGGTAGAACAGGTTAGCCAAAGGGGAATTTCACCAGTTTTTCTTTTCTTTTTTTTTTTTTGCAAAATTCCATCACTGAAATGCAAACAAAGTCATTCAGAGTGGTTTAGTGTGAAATTGTTCATTGTAGAGCCTCAGATTTCTTAACAGGGGTGGTGACAGGAACCAGGGGTCTAAACACAAACGTCTACCACACAAATACAGCCATTTTATTTACTACCCAAACCACCAGTGAACCTACACGTGTCTTCTGACTTTTTATATTTAATGTAAGATAATGGTAAAATAGATGTAAATCTGGAAAAAGGAGTTTTCTTTGGGGACTATTTTGCCTTAAAACGCCCTGCATGTACCCCTCCACCATGAATGGATTAAGATAAATAGATCAACAAGACGTTTTAGGCCAAAATTTCATCACAAAACTACGTAAAACAATGTGTCAACTTGTGTCACTAAAACTTTCTGTGAGGGAGACTTTAGAGGTGGACATCTGGTTCCTATCACCACCACTGTGGACAATTCTGACTCTAAGGTTATCTAGAACGAAGCATTTCACGCCAAGCCACTCTGAATGACTTTGTTTACATTTTAAGCTTTTAAATGAGCAGAAATTCTGGAAAATTGGTGGAGCGCCCCTTTAACCTGGTTCCTTTCTAATAAGCAAGAATAAACGATATAATCGCCGATCAGCAGAACCAGAGGAAGACATAATCCCTTTCTGAAGTCTAGATATCGTTATCATTCACAGACAGATGATGAAAGGAGCCAAAAGAGTCGGTCAACAAAAGGCGCTTCGACTGGACGGACAACTGAACCGACCGCACAGAACTCAGTCACTCAAGCCGACCAGCTAAAACACCCACCGGAGTCTTGACCTGAGTGGATCCGCTTCATCCTCGAATTCAGCGAAGACCAAATCAAGTCACGAGTCTCGTATTTTCGGGCAGTTCTGTTAGCTACATGTTTGAAATGTCCAACAACAGGTCGAAAGTTGAGGCTGGGCTCTGTGTGTATTTGTTCTGCTGTCAGCAAGAGGGTTTGTGATGCAATTTCAAAATAAAAGTTCTACTGCAAATTAACACAAAAGGGAACTTGCTACTGACGCTAACAAGCTAACTTGAGATAACGATTTAATTGTTTCGACGACAATATGCATAATAGCATACTGTGGCATACTGTAATGTAATTTGTTACGATTACGTTAAATAGTCATATTGTAATATTGCATTAATCATGTTTCCAAAACAACAGTTGAATATACCTAAACCAAAACAAAACAAAACAAAATAAAAATATACTCTAAAACAATTGCTCTAACACAAGCTGTTTTGTATCTTATTTTGTATTAAATGAAACTTTTAGTTCAAGTTAAATCGACGGCTTTTAGTTTGAAATCTGTACAGACACAAGCGGCAATGTCTTTCACATTTAATGTCTATATTTAATCAGTTTCCAAAACAACAGTCGGACATACCTAACAAAACAAACTAACACAAACTGTTATATATGTTATTTTGTATTAATTATATATATTTTTATTTTAGTGAATGCGAGGGCCTTTATTTTGGAATGTGTACAGACATAAGCGGAAATGTCTTTCTGTTGCTGTTCTTTCTGTGTTCGTGTTCAGTGTTGTGGCCACCGGAGTGTTTAAGAGGTAAATTTGTTTTAATTCTCTCGTTTGTAAACGAACCTCGTCATCAGAGCGGCTGGAACAGCTGAGCTGTTTAATATGGAGTTAATCTTTAACCTGTTTTAAACAAGACTCGCTCTAAATTCACAAAATACAGCACACACTATGTCACGTGGAAACGCAGCGGATAGGTGTGCCGAGGCTGAGGTCCGCTTTATACTCGAATTATCCCGTTCCACCTTAAATACTGTAGTAGACTGTAACTGCTCCAGCATTTAAGGTGGAACGTGATAATTCGACCAAGTATCTGGCGAATAAGCAGCTGACTTCGGCTTCGCAGCACTCATAGCCAGTGGCTTTAGCGACATTAATAAGTAACATTAATAAAAACATTTTTTCTCTACAGTTTACTGTGTTGAGGTTATGGCTGACGAAGGCTCGGTGGAGGATTATCCCACAGAAATCGAGGAGTACCTCACTGGGTTCGAGTCTTCTGTGAGCTCTGTCCAAAATGTAATCCAGACTCTCATGTCTGTGTCAAAGGGCGAGCACCTGAAGGTAAAGGGCCACGTGCACATTCACTGGCTACGACAAGAAGACAGTTTTCTAAAAGGCATAAAGTATGAATGCATGTAGTTAGCAGATTAATTTCAGAATCAGATTTTTAATTCGCCAGGTACCAGGTGTGCAAGGAATTCTTCTGTGCAGGGGTCAGCATAAAGTGAAATCTAATAAAATGAATATAGAAAAAGATATGCTGTACATAAACATTACCTAGAGCATGTACAATCTACAGGTGAGCATGTGCAGTGGGAGATAAATACAGATACAATCAAATGCTGAGGTTCTGTGGTACATATATATACAGTACATACAGCTAAAAGAATGGAGCAGCAGATATAAATGTAATATTAACGTTTATCACATAAAATATTTTTTTCACATGTAATTAGTAGGTTAAATTAGTAAGTTAACTGCTGTTGAGACACTCCAAAATATCAGTCTTATATATATGTGTGTGTATAAATACACACACGCCAACATACACATACATAATTATTATGTTTTGTTATTATATATGAAAATATTGTGTGTGTGTGTGTGTGTGTTTCATATTTTCAAATCTGATTATCTAAGTTCCATTGGCAAACAGCTGTTGGTTCAATGTTCACTGTTTGTTTATTTTAGCTTGACCCGCTTGACCAAGCCAAACTGGACCTGATGTCTGCGTACACCCTCAACTCGCTGTTTTGGAGTGAGTATTTTAGCTGTTTAGTCTTTTGGCACAGTTCATGTTCACTCTTTGCTCAGTCTTTGACATTTAATCTGTTTCTTTGTCAGTGTACCTAATGACACAAGGAGTGAACCCAAAAGAACATGGAATCAAACAAGAACTGGTAAGAACCCAGCTTTCATTTATGGTACTGTGCCATCCCTCTTACAATGGGGGGGAAAAAAGATAAAGTGACTCAGTGAACAACTGTTGCATCTGTAAAACGGTGCAAAACATAAAAAAAAACAAAAAACAAATGTCCCTTGCATTTTTTAGGATAAAAGAGTTTGGTGCAGTATGTAAACATTGTTTAGTTTTAAACCTACCATTCACTCCTGAGTTCACAAATTCCATATATTAAAATTAAGCTGCAAAAACGGCTCATTATGAATTCATTGTGATGTCATGAAAAAGCACTACATTTAAGCAATAGAACCCTTGAGGGAGTGTGTTATCGCAAAATAACATCACGGCTGTGATTTGGTTGCAGGTGATTTGGTGCCATACACCATCACCGTGATGTTATTCGCGGTAACACACTCCCTTGAGTGTTCTATTACTTTTATACAACAGTTAAATAAATAAAGTAAGAAATAAATAAATTGGGTCGTGAACGCAGCGTTTAATATGTTTTAATGTTCGCCGTTCCTTCCGCCAAATTATAGTTCCTTAACAAGCAGCTTGTTGCTATGTCAGAGTAACGAGCTCCGCCCACTCGCTGCACAGTCTGCCGTAAGCCTCGCCTTTTGAAGTATGGACCGAGCCATAAAACTGCCACAATATCAAGTTTAGCTCAGTTTTGTCAATTTTTGCTGGATCAATATTACTGTTGTTTTGTTCCAGCCAGTCTGTAAAGCATCTTACAGCCCATTTAGTTTGGCGAATGGTGTTGGGTTCATTTCTGGCTGATTCCAGGTTGTTTAGCTGCTCTTCTGTCTCAGCTGCCGACTGAAAAGCTGCTCAGTGGTGACGACAGTTTGGGAATTTAGTGTCGTCTCATCTTCAGAGTCTGACCAAATCGGCTGTCGGTCAAATGTGATCTTAAAAGCGTCCATTTTCTATTTGTGGCAAAGTAAGAATTAAAGACGTTCAAATGGCTTGAGCGTCTCCTACAGCTGTCAAAGTTGTTGCTTAGCAATGGCATCTCAGCGGAGTGATACGGTTTGTGAAAAAAAAAACGTGATGTTATGGTGAAATAACAGCACAGTTAGAACGCTTCCCAACCAATCAGCTTGCATGGCTGGAACTAACTGTTGTATAATTGCTGATGTCCTACTATTCAGCCAATAGCAGTTTAGCTCCGCCCACTGACACTAAAGTTATAAGTGTTTCAGCCTGAGCTGCTTTCTTGAATGAGGCACAATACCTTGCAGCCAATCAGAAGGAATATATGTGTTATTTTTAAAAATATTGCAACTGCGATGTCTTCACTTAATTTGGGAGAGCTTTTGATATGAAATGGTCAAAAATATTTTATTTTATGGTGTATCATGTGAATACATGGATTCGTCAAAACAGATCAACTAATCTGGCAGAAAATGTGACTTGTTAAAAGGCATATTTGCATATTTTAGAAAGACATTGCAGGATCTATTAACAAACAATATACTGTGCTGCCTTGTTCCCACTTTAGAGCTTTAGATACTTTGTTAAATATTCCCTCTTCTGAACCTGAGGAGTCCCTAACGTTTTTGATTAATTTATTAAATTTCACAGGAGAGAATCCGAACATACATGAACAGGCTGAAGGAGATCACCGATAAGAAAAAGGCAGCTCGTCTGGACAAAGGAGCAGCATCTCGGTTTGTCCGGAACGCACTGTGGGACGCAGAGGACAGCAAAGCCAAAGACAAAGACAACACAGAGCGTCCCCACAAAGCCAAGCAGAGGAAACTGGACTGAGGAGGACAGTAGTCAGAAACTGTTGTATATGCATGCACACAATGTGTGTCTGCATCATCGATGAGGTTTCTCTCATCGTTGTGCCATAAACATTTTTTCTTTTTTAATTACTATTTTGTTTTATATTAGTCTCACTTTTTCCTTCTGTAATATCTGGTCATCATCAAGCTGTGGTTTTATGACTTTATGACTTTATGACAAGTTTTTGATTTTGTAATAGGAAAGTTTAAAAAGTCACCATGTGGAGTACTGTTGTTTACTGTTGTTTACTGTGTATGTAATTTAAACACCATCCTTCATTCTGAAACACTCAGGACCTTTATTTCTGATCACAGATGTGATTGACAGAAATTTAAAACGTACTGTACAGATATTTTTGTTCTTGAAAGCTCCTATTTTTAAAATTCGGACTTTGGGAGAATTTCACAACAGAAGATTTCACGGTTATTCTGATACTTTAAGCCCAAAGGTCAAGCCTGTCCAGTGTGAGCTGGACATTTCTGTTGGACACACTTCACTTTCAGGGAGACATGAAGGGGAGTTCCACCACTTTTTCAAAATTTCTACATAATTCAGTCTTTTGAGATGTAAAAGTCATTCAGATTAGTTGTAGAGAAACTCACGTGAATATCTTCACAGTGCTGGTGATGGGAACCAGAGATTGCAGTGACTACAGTGCAAATATAGCCATTTTATTTGCTTTTACATGTAATATGATGGTAAAATAGTTGTACATCTGAGAAAAGTTCTTTGGGACTGTTTTGCCTCACAAATGCCCTGCATGTATCTCTTCAACATGAACATGTTTTCCAAAAAAAACAGCTTTAGGCCAAAACCTGTTTCAAAAAATGTTTAAAACAATGTTTTAGGCGTCAGGCAGTGTATTAGCTTTTAGAAGCATTAAACTCTATAGACGTCTGGTTCCTATCACCACCACTGTAAACAACTCTGACTTGGTTATGTATAAATAATTTATATAATAATTAGCCTATTTAAAATAATTTTAAAAAGATTTTTTACAACTTAGTTATACAGAAATTAGGTTATGCACTTTAAAGAAAAGTCCTGCTTTGTGGAACAGCCACCTGCCCACCTCTCAGAAAGTAGGCCTGTTCTCTGTAAATGTCATGTTGTATCTTCACACATAGGTGCGCTGTAGTTTTGACCTTGACTGGACTTTTGTTTTATTCCAACTCGTGAGGAAATATGCAGTTCTAATCATAACATTTTCCTCTGGAAAGTATTTCTCTTGCAGGTTGTGTTGTTGAGGTGACATTTGTTGAGTGGAACTTTCTTTTTTCCTTGCCTCTCCTTTCTTTTCCCAACAAACTGTTTAAAAATGTCCTTTCAGTATGCCTGACAAAAGCTCCATCCTCTTAGCGCATATTGGAAAAACATGCTTTCGTGCCCGTTGAAGCCCTTGAAGCCCTTTTTGTGACCATATGTGCTTATGAGTCTGAAATGAGCTCACTAACCAGAAATTCAGGGCAAGGCCAACTTCAACAAACTCGCTCATATCACAAGTCATACGTTTAGAAAGTTAATTCTATTTTTTCTTTATGTGTATTTTCCTTTTTGTGCTTTGTTTGGAGCAGCTGTATGGGAGTAGAGGTAGTCTGGTGTGAGTGGCGTTTGAGTAAATCATCGCCAGGCCAGCAGAGGGAGGTGTGGCGTGTGTATTTTCAGACTTTCCTGTCTGATTTGGTTTTGGCTCTTACCTACGTTTTGTCTGACGAAGCCTCGCCTGCAAATGAAGTTTAATGTGTTTGGAAAGTCTTTGAAAGGCAGTTGAGAAGTGGAAGGAGCCCGGAAAACTGGAGGGTCTGTGGGACTAATTAAAAGCGTAGTGGAGGAGAGACTCATAATGGCTATTGTTGGCATTGCTTGGGGGTTTAATTAAACAGCCTCCTGTCTAATGATGTGATGTGGGATATTGCATTTGTCTTAAAGGCCTTTAGAGAGAGAGAGAGAGAGAGAGAGACAGAACAAAAGAAATTTAAAAGTTGGAAGAGAAGGTCAGTCAGCATGTTTTATGGAGGGAGTTTGTTGTGTAGAGGAAGATGAGGTGATTGTGACAGTAGGAGATAAAGCGTTTCTGACAACAGAACACCTGTAAATAATAAAGCAAAGGCAACTGAGACCGTTGAGGTGAAACAACCCTTAAAGGGATAGTTTGGCAAGAAACTAGATTTACTGTTTTCCCCTCACCCCAAATGTACTTGATCAGCCATAACATAGCTGCCTGAACCCTGAACTGCTTTACTATTGCACGGAAGCTGTGAGGCTAATGTAGCTACAAGTAATGGAAGCTCCTACCCACCAATAAGCATCATGCATTCTGCATCACACATTTGCCTCAAACTTAAACAAAGGGTTGCCGAAAATTTAAACCATGTTTTTTTACTCACCCTAATTGTAGTCGATTGGCCGAGACGTTTGGAGTCCAAATTTTGCTGCTTTAATTTTAGAACTGGAGCATCAAGGCTAACGTTGCTAACCTAACACTACCACTCAGTAGTCACCCAAATAGCCCAAATTGTTTCTGTAAAACTGCTGCATCAAAATTTCTCAGAATGCATCCAGATTTTCCTTAAGGTCGCACAGTTCAGTGTGGTTTAGGACACAGTATGACCTACTGTGAACTATAAAGATGAACAAAACCAGATTTACAGACACATGGACTTACTGTGCTTGTTACTGAGAGAACCCACAGGGCCCTATGGCTGTGTAGCTCTGCCATGTAGAGGGAATAACTTGGATTTTGGTGAGCCCTTAGAGAGGCTGCTGGAAGTACAAGCTTAAGCAGAGTTTGCTTGTGGATTTACCCTAAATTTATGGCAAGACACGCAATGAAATAAACAAAATGGGAGAAGTTGCGCAAGACATTGAGCATTTCAGTGAATGTCGTATAACTTGAGTCCAAAATGCATGAGAACAGGTTTAGTCTTGGCAAAGGCCTAACTAAGATGTGCTTTAAGCTGGATTTACACAGTGCGACTTTCATTCAGCTAGTTTAATGGTGTGAATTTCCTGCAACATAATTTTGGTGCAACTGTTACACGAAGAAATTCAAAGTTGCACGCAACACATTCAGTTACTCCACCAACACCAGCTCATATTTTTTGAAACATTGCATAGTTCATGCTATAATGTTTGTGCAAGGTGTAATTTACATATTTGCAGCTTTTTTTATTATCTTTGTATATTTTTTCCAGCTGTCATTACCATTAGTTTTTTTCTTCAGTTTATACATGTATCTTTCCAACTACTACCTTCTGTTTTATTGTCTTGTCCACTGATCCAGGGAACTCAGTTGCTTGAAAGGTAGGCCTGTCACTGTGATCGCATGATGTGTTATTGGCATTTTGATTTGTTTCACGAAACTGAGACACAACAGTTGCGGCTGGGTTTCAAGTGAGTTGCAGGATGTTTTACATTATGGAACCAAAGTGCAATTCAATTTCATGTAGGTTTCAAACAAGTAAACTTGCATGAAAGTTTCACCATGTAAAACCGGTTTTAGTTGAATTTCAGCAAAGCATGTTGCAGCAACAGCAGACGAGTGCATACCACTCGGACGACAGTTAAGTTGTCCTTTCTCACTTTTCCTCTCATTGGTTTTATGATACTTTCACAAGTGCTGCCAAAGTAGGACACATCATGGGACTAATGACAAACTAATGGTATTCTGGCTCAGGGTTCAGTGTGGAAAGACCAGCACTAATAATGGAGTCAGTGATAGTGGACATGTGTACAGGGAAATTGGGCCTTTGGGGTAGGGGGGTCAGTAGGGAGGTCTGGGGAAGAGGTTTATACTGCTTGTGGTCTCATAAAACCACAGTGTACATAGCCAAGAGGAACAATATGCACTCGCAGTCCAATTAGAGTTCAAGAAGTTCGTCCACACAGCCTGAGACCTGCAAAAGTGTTCTAGTGGCTGTAACCTGTGGCCATGAGAAATTAACGGCGGTAATGACTTTAAAGACACATTTATGCTTTCCTATTTTAGAGAGTGGGTCCATGTAGATGAGTGACAATCCCTGTAATCATTCTCTGCTTGAAAATGAGTTACAGAAGAAATATAATCAGCTTTTTCAGTATACGTTTACATGTATTTGCGTTATTGGTTTTGCTCAACATGAGGTATTTAGATTAACCAGCGAAAAGCGATGACTACAGTTAGAGGCCTATCAGTGTAACAAATGAGAAATAGGACTATGAAATCCAGTCACTGTTGCTGCCTATGCTGAATGCACTGCAGCTATGAAGCAATCCAGTGCTGCTGGAGTTTTTGAACACTGTGTCCACTCACTGTCCACTCTATTAGACACTCCTACCTTGTTGGTCCACCTTGTAGATGTAAAGTCAGAGACAGTAGCTCATCTGTTGCTGCACAGTTTGTGTTGGTCATCCTCTAATCCTTCATCAGTGGTCACAGGACGCTGCCCACAGGACGCTGTTGGCTGGATATTTTTGGTTCTCAGTCCAACAGCAACACTGAGGTGTTTAAAAACTCCACCAGCACTGCTGTGTCTGATCCACTTGTAAAAGCGCAACACACACTAACACACCACCACCACGTCAGTGTTACTGCAGTGCTGAGAATGATTCACCACCCAAATAGTACCTGCTCTGTGGTGGTCCTGTGGGGGTCCTGACCACTGAAGAACAGGGTAAAAGGGGGCTAACAAAGTATGCAGAGAAACCGATGGACTACAGTCTGTAAGGAGGTGTACTTAATGAAGTGGCCGCTTGGTGTGTATTTATAGTAGATAAATTTGGTGAGACTTTTCCTTTAGTGTGTGAACGTCAAATGAGGATTCTGGGAACAGGACCTGACTGATCTCCTAAAGAGATGCGTGGGAAAAGGAATGGAAACTTTGGAGTTTTTTAGGCTGATTCTAGACCCTTAGGAACGGAGCCTGCTCCCCTCTCTGCCTAATGACCACCCGTGACCTCGCTGGTGTTGGCGTCGGCTCTAAATAAATGTGGTGGGGGATGGACCCAGGGGATGGTAAAGGGTGGGGGGGGTCCCACCATGAGTGATGGATCCGCCATCGGCCCTGGAGCTGTTTACACTAACGCTCCCCACATTCTTCCCCCTCATTTGTGCCACCTTCCATTCACCTTGCTCCACGCCGATGGCTAGATTCATCAAGATAAGAGACTTATTTACCCTCGGCAGCCTGCACGGGACAAACTGCACTTTTGAAAGTCAGACTCAGGCGTGGAGGACTGAGAGGATTTCCCCATGCATTCCCTCTCTCTCTCTCTCTCTCTCTCTCTCTCTCTCTCTCTCTCTCTCTT